TAATCAAACAAAGGCAAGTCCAATATAATCTAAGTAAAATAATAATAAAATTGAGTTGTTTTTGAAGTTTGTTTGAAGAAAAAAATATTAAATATAAGTGAAAAACAGGAATTTAAAGATTTCTCAATTGTCATTGCTTTTTTTTAAATTGAATATTTAAAATGAAGTTGAAATTTAAAAAAAATCTCAATTCTTGAAAAAATTTTTAGAATTACGCACATAGATATGCACATAATGACTGAATCTTTCAAAAAATACAAATTTTAATGATGTCAATAAATTAATTTTTTTCAAGGAATGCCAATGAGTTAAGCAGCTGGAAATTTAATGGAAAGCGTAGATTCTGTACAAGAAGAAGATCCGTAAAGCTCGCTTTGACATATTGGTCACACGATCCGAAGTTCTCCATCAAGAATACAATTATCAGCCGTGAAAGAATCTGATGAAAAAAATGTTCTTATATTCTCATGGTATAACCCTCCCCAAACTTGCGAAAAAAATGAATCACCATGCAACTGAACTGAAACAAGTGGGTGTTTATATAAAGAAATTTTCTGGTTTTGATCCGTCTAAAGTGCCTACTTTATTATTGATAATTTTCATTGTAATAGTTCATTCTTTTTGCTTATTTATTGAAATGGTAAAGGTTCCTTTCGGTTAAGTCTAAATTGTGTATCTTTTTTCAATAAATTTGGAAGGTTATAAAATTTGTTTGAGGGTAATATTGAATTTAAGTATGAAAAGTTTTCAGTTCATTAAAGAATTGTATAAAAAGCATTAACTCCAAAGATTTAGTCTGATGGCAGGCAGAACTCCAAACATTTCTGAAACTTTGGGTTTGAGTAATTTGTAATTACAGGTATTACTATTATTGGTTAACTGATTACCCCATCTCTGCTGCTGTCTGCAAAATTCTACCATAACAACCAAGCAAACAAAGACCAGCCAACACAAGTGGTCATCTGATGGTCTAAATTTGGTCTACATTGTTCAATATTTTGAAATTTTACCTATGAATGTTGTTATCCACCCCTTGAAAGATGGACAAGTCTATTTAAGATAATTTAGCAGGTTACGGGTTAAAGTTGAAAACTAGAGGGTGTTTTGCTATATTCCTCTTTAAATTTATTCTGTGCTGTTAATTTGAATGTCATATATGCAAAATTTCTTCCATACTCTAATTTCAGGAATACTTGACCACTGATGGTAAGCTGTACGGTGATATATGTTTAATGTCAGAACGGACGGAAAAAGAAAGCTTATACCCCTGAGGAACCTATGGATCAATTTTTTACTGCTCCAAAAACTTTAACAATTGTTTGGCTGGATTACAGGTGGTGATGAGTTAATTTGTAAGTTAAAAAACTTTATTTAATACAAATTATATATTAATCTAGATATTATATGTTATTTTAAATGGGGAAAAATCAACTGTTTCTGTAGGTAAATGTTTGTTATTTTGATTAAAAAAAAAACAATATTTTAAATTTATAGTTTTTCAATTGGCAAAAAAAAAAGTAAAATGTATACTAATACTATAAAAGATTTTCTACATGGATCATAGTGATGTCTGGTTCCCAGTTGACATCATTGATCATTATCAATGTGAAGTCATGACTTGAATCAGAAAAATAGATCAATATAATAAATGATGTCACTACTATTTATGATATTTTTTGGATACAAATTCTGGAAAGAAAAACAACATTCTGTTAACAATAAGAAAAAAAGTGGAATTTTAACCATGGTAGAGTTCCTCAAATATAGATTATACACACTGCTGTGGGATATCAAATGTACAAATACTGATTATCTTAAATAATTAAGAACATATTGAACAGTTATAATGTCTGTATTTCAAAGAAGCAATGTCTAAGCATATTAGACAGTATATTCCTTTAATAATTATGCTCTTGTATTATTGTTTATGAATACAATTAAAAGTTGTTTTAATGTTTTTTCAGCTGAGAACAATGATTTTGAGATAATATCTCAAGTCACAGAGCAAACGAGTAGAATTGTTCCTGGCAGATTATAACAAACACACTAATGAATTTGTCACAGTTGGGCCAGGATATTTTGTTGTAAGTAAACTTTGGTGATATCTTTGAAGGCCCATTACACCTCAGAAATGCTGTCATTTAGTTTTGTCAAAGTCCCTTTATTTTGGGTTATCTTGTTACATACCAAATAAGTATCTTATATGGAAATCAAAATACTACTTTGTTTACATTTTGCTAACTTTCTGACACATTACTGCACATTCAGTGCTGCTTTCTTCAGTTGTTAATCATCTATCATGCATTAAATCAATGATTAAAACATTATTAATCACAATTTTGACATTTCTAAAGAAAAAAAAATCATGAATTTTTAGGCATGATGTGCTTTAAGATAATTTTTGTTTTGTTACAAATGATAGTTCATGTTATGTCTTTTTACGAAATGACTGACCTGTTAAAAATTCTGAAAAAGAGATAAAACAACAAAGTAACAAGGAAAAGTTTTTTAGAACACCTCTAATAATAATTTGGACTGATCTAATGTAGTTTTTTTTTTAATCTTGTTATGTTACAGACCTGGGCATTTCGTTACGGAGCGAGACATTTAATTCCTCGTAAGATGAATCGTACAGAGTATAAAGAGAACAACATGTTTAGTCACATGGTGCTAGAGGGAACTGCTAGTAGATCACAGAAAATCTTCTTATCTGTTCATACTTCATGTGTGGTAAGCATTAAAATAGGTCTTTTTTTCCAATGACTGATCTTTTTTTTTTCTTCAATTGATGTCATGTTTTGAACTTTTATTCTTGATATTTGTCAGGATGCCATTCTAAAAACAAGAATGTCAGTTTGTTGCATTTAAGTCATTTTATGTATAACACATTTAATCATTTTATGATAGCTAAAACATATATCCTACATTTTTATTTGTTTCAATAGACTTACTATGGAATGAAGAATATTTTGGGTTTCCCCAGTTTATCCAGGGGTACAAACAAACTTTTACAGTTACAGCTTCAAAAAATATTAATCGCAACAGGTTGACTAAACTATTGTGAACATGGCGCACAGTGAAACTATAATGATAAAAGCTTGTTTGTACCAGGGTATTAGCATGAAAAAATCCACATTTGCCGAGTTCAGGATTACACCTATTGTCAGCTATCATCTTTGGTGGCATATTTGCTTTATTGATGATGTTTGTCTCAAATTTATTTATTTATTTATTTATTTAAGAGGAATACATAAACAATCAACTTGATTTAAGTTTTTATTTTGATATACAAATAATTTGATTACAGGTGTACAATGTATTTGATGGGAAGCAGCTGTCCTACAGGAAAGACCTTCATGAACGTGACATCACAGCTATGACCTTCTTTAATCCACTGAAATATCTTATAACTGGTGCTCTTGATGGAACTAGTAAGTAATGTATATGTATATACCAACAGAAATGTGTAAAATTCACAACAAAATTCATGGTTTAGCAAAACCATACACAGTGATTTTTGTTCAGCATGGGGAATGGTGGCATTCCTTTTTAGACTGAGTTGCTTTGCAGTTTCTTGCACAGGGGAACATATAAAAGCGATATTATTACATGCAATAATAATAATAATAAATTCAAATATAAATACATGTACAGTGTAAATAAAAACAACAAAATTTTGTTCTGAAAATATCAAGAGTTACAAAACATACTGGTTTTTCAATTGGACTAATTTTTAGCTCACCTGTCACAAAGTGACAGGGTGAGCTTTTGTGATCGTTTTTCGTCCGGCGTCCGTCCGTCCGTCGTCCGTCCGTCCGTAAACTTTTACTTTAAATGACATCTCCTCATAAACCACTAAGCCAATTTCATCCAAACTTCACAGGAATGTTCCTTTGGTGGTCACCTTTAAAAATTGTTCAAAGAATTTAATTCCATGCAGAACTCTGGTTGCCATGGCAACCGAAAGAAAAAACTTTAAATATCTTCTTTTAGAAAACCCTAAGAGCTAGAGCTTAGATATTTAGCATGAAACATCTTCTAGTGAGTGTCTACCAAGTTTGTTCAAATAAAATCCCTGGGGTCAAAATTGGCCCCGCCCCAGGGGGTCATTGATTTTCCCTATATGCATATAGTAAAAACTTAAAAAATCTTCTTTTAAAGAACCCAAAGAGCTTGAGCTAAGATATTTAGCATGAAACATGTTCTAATGGGTGTCTACCAAGTTTGTTCAAATAAAAGCCCTGGGGTCAAAATTGGCCCCGCCCCAGGGGGTCATTGATTTTCCTATATGCATATAGTAAAAACTTAAAAAATCTTCTTTTAAAGAACCCAAAGAGCTTGAGCTAAGATATTCAGCATGAAACATCTTCTAATGAGTGTCTACCAAGTTTGTTCAAATAAAAGCCCTGGGGTCAAAATTGGCCCCGCCCCAGGGGGTCATTGATTTTCCCTATATACATATAGTAAAAACTTAAAAAATCTTCTTTTAAAGAACTCAAAGAGCTAGAGCTAAGATATTTAGCATGAAACATGTTCTAATGGGTGTCTACCAAGTTTGTTCAAATAAAAGCCCTGGGGTCAAAATTGGTCCCGCCCCAGGGGGTCATTGATTTTCCCTATATATGCATATAGTAAAAACTTAAAAATCTTCTTTTAAAGAACTCAAAGAGCTAGAGCTAAGATATTTAGCATGAAACATGTTTTAATGGGTGTCTACCAAGTTTGTTCAAATAAAAGCCCTGGGGTCAAAATTGGCCCCGCCCCGGGGGTCATTGATTTTCATTATATGTGTATAGCAAAAACTTAAAAATCTTCTTTGAAAAAACCCAAATAGCTAGAGTTTAGATATTAAGCATGAAACATCTTCTAGTAAGTGTCGACAAAGTTTGTTCAAATAAAAGCCCTGGGGTCAAAACTGGCGGCCCTGCCCCAGGGGTGTTATTGTTTTTAACTTTATGTGTATAGTAAAAACTTTAAAAATCTTCTTTTAAAAAACCCAATGAGCTATAGCTTAGATGTTTAGTATGAAACATCTTCTTATGGGTGTCTTCCAAGTCTGTTCAAATAAAAGCCCTTGGGTGAAAATTGGCCCTGCCGGGGGGGGACAGAATTGTTTTTCATTATATGTGTGTAGTAAAAACTTAACATCGTAAAACATCTTCTACTGTCAAGTGTCTTCCAAGTTTGTTCAAATAAAAGCCCTGGGGTTTAAACTGGCCCTGCTCCGGGGGCCTATTACAGGTGAGCGACCTCAGGGCCATCATGGCCCTCTTGTTTGTTTTGTTTTTTCTTTAAAGGTAAGATAAGAAAAACACTTTGATGAGGTCCCCAAAAAATCTTTGAATTTGTCTTTGGGCACTATTACAAAGCTTAACTGCAATAATTATAATTTACTTCTAGATAAATAAATATTTAAAGATCATTTTTGTTTATGCTTTATAAAACAATTTATTTACTGTGTTAGTTTTATGTTTCAGTAAAGATTTGGGACAACAAATGGCACATACAGATGGTGTTTGTAGGTCACACAGGGACTATCCATGCATTAGATATCTATCCACATGGCTCGGCTATCATCTCTGCCTGTGCTGACAAAACTATCCGTGTCTGGAACCTAGACACATGTGACGAGGTAGATAGGTCAGTATAAAAGTCTTACATATTGGTTTAAACATATTTAAGCTCAATTGTGAAAAAAAGTTTTTGCAACTTATATTAATCACTTCCAAGTCTGCTTACTGAAACCAGTCATTACTGGTGTCATATGACATATGTAGAAACATGGTTGTGACCCAAATAGGGCTTGAACCCATGGTCCCTGGGTTGAGAGCAGACACCTTAACCACTAGGCTACCGCTAACTCCCCTTACATATCTTTTCATATTATTGTATTGTCCATTTCTAAACAAATTTAGAAAATAATGGAACAGATAGTTTACCCTTATCATGCTAAATATCTTAAATAGACTTGTCCATCTTCAAATCTGCACAAAACCATTTGTTAGTTTTAGGGAAAATTCAAAATTTCACTATATATCTTGGTTGCATGGGTGGATTCATTTTGGCAAGCTGGTTAAAGGTTAAGCCTGTACACATAGTTCAACATCTGAACATTGAAAAATTTCAAGATATATTTTAAAGTGATATAAAGCATACATAGATTATACAAAGAATAACAAAACAAACATGTAAACAAGAGTGTTTATTAAATTAAATCATGGTTTATTATTCCTGTTCCTTTTAGATAGTACATTTATCATGTTTATTATATTGAGAATTATGCCATATACCAGCATATGTGTTCTTTCTTTGTCATAAAACTGTACAAATGAGTTATTATGCAATGTTTTATTTATTTCAGAGCAACATTAGATGGTCCAATAAAAAACTTACAGACTACATTAGACTATGACACATTTTTCACATACCATGGACAGACAGTTGATATGTGGAAAATACAACATCTATATCACATACATACATCAGTGGGGTAAATAACACAACCTAGACTATTTGTATATTGTTTGTGTTATTCCTGGCCTCGAAGTTGTAACTTTTTCCTGAGTTCAGTCTCAAATCACACAATTTTTATTGGTGAATGTACAATCTGTGGCAGTTTTTGACCATTCAAGAGAGATCTGAGTTTGTGCTTAGAGAATTTCTTTATAACCTTGGACCATGGTATAACAAATGACCTCAGCTATGTACTTCAGTCAGATGTTACCAAATTGATGATTGAAATAATTACTAGTAAACTTTGAATAAAAGTATGCTTTCGGCAGTAAAAATTTAATAATATTCAGTAATTTTAGAAAGCTTGTTGTTTCCTCTTGCATGTGCCTCAGAACAACAATAAAAATCCATTTTTGCAACAATATAGTTTGATGCCATTTAAAGGAACTCCACTGAGGTCCAAAAGCCAAAAAATATCAAATATAAATTTCTTGTGTAGATCAGTCTGCACACTGAAAACAGAAAAATATGCAAAAAATTAAGAAATATACTCAGGAATAAATTGAAAATTGTATTTTTGAGCTATTCATAGCCTAATTTTAGTCCATTTAAGTAAATTAGAACAATAGCTAAAACAAAAATATGTAATCACTCTTTATCTTTAAAACTGGTTCTTTGTATGTTTCTTAACTCAAATAGGCACCTTAGAGTTTTCCTGAACTTATAAGTTTGCAAAAATTTTCCTATGATGAACCATTCTTAATATACTTCAAGTTTGTACTTCAAATATGAATGCTTATGTTGTTAGTTGTATTTTAATTATAGAATTTATTTTGTCATTTGCAGTCAGCGAGTTGTGAAGATAAAGCAGACAAGTCACCCGAATTTCTCTACACGTTCTGTAGTGATGAGTCGGGACAGTAGTGTAAGACTTGTCTCCCCTGTTTCTGGTGATGTCATCACAACGTTACTACTGAGTCCAAACCGAGGCTTGGTTGATGTAGCTTATGCTATTGAACATGGTAAACCATTTTGAGTATACTCATTGATGAATTAGAGCCAGGACACCTTAGTGCAGTAATGTGTTAACTCCTATCAAATTATTTAAGGAGTTAACCTGTAACTGCAAGGTGATGATACAATAATGTTCCGGATAAAAGCGACTTTTAAATTTTGAATAATTTTTTATTTTTTTCTTGCCAGAAGTATTGAATCACTAAACAGAAAGTACTTAAAAATAACTCCTTATGATAGAATTCTTATAGGCAAATAGATTTTATGTCAGGTTTAATGCTGTTCAAGAAGAAATTTTGTAAAAATAACAAGTGAACAATTTAGAGGACTGGTTTTTCAGGGATTCCTTCTAAAAATCTAATAGTGGGTACTTATCAGTCTTCAATTGTTTTTAACCTTATGATATACTGTTATTTATAATGGGATGTTTTTAAATCAAACCAAATTCAAAGACAAAGAAACCGTACTTGCTTATACCTAATAGAATTATGTGTGGAATATTATGTACTTAAATGAAGAACTATTTCAAGTATTGAAATTAAAAGGAACTGCAAGATTTCACTATAGTTAGTACAAAATATTTACAGTTTATTGCAACAAATTAATTAAGCCGCGTCACGACAAAACCAACAAAGTGCGTTTGCGACCAGCATGGATCCAGACTAGCCTGCGCCTCCGCGCAGTCTGATCAGGATCCATGCTGTTCGCTTACAAACCCTATAACAAGTAGAGAAACTGATAGCGAACAGCATGGATCCTGACCAGACTGCGCGGAGGTGCAGGCTGGTCTGGATCCATGCTGGTCGCAAACCCACTATGTTGGTTTTGTCATGACGTGTCTCATTTTATTATTTACAGAGGTCATGTTTTGTGTGCTAGGAAGTGGAGACATCTTAAAGGTACGCACTGACACAAACCCGTGTCATGTTGTCAAACATTGGAAATGTGCTGATCCAGAGAAAGGTAAATAACCTGTAACACCGTATATAACATGTAATTGTAGCATTGTGCTTCTTGTGTATGTTTGTATATACTGGTAGTCTAGATTCACAACAAACTGGATTTTACATTGTCAATATTTCATTCTTTTTTCAGTCAGACTAGGGGATAAAAATTCACCTTTCAGACATAGACATAATGTAATAAAAGACTGCTGAGACCATCTTATCTTGATTAAAATTTAACAAAATAATTCCTTTTATTGTTTCTGTGTTTCTGCATATCTTTTACTTTAACAGATTTTAAAATGACTAATTTTTCACCCTGTACTCTGCATGTATGCGATTCAGTATAACATATGTATATGTAATTATTATTTGTTTGCTTTTCTTATATAAATATAACAACCTTTATTCAAATTCTATTAAAATTTACACTTTCAAACTAAGACTGTAACTTAATTCAGTATGTTTTCCAGTTTTGTATTTTCAGCACCTATAATATATATAATACATGTACCTGCATGACTTGTTGTGTGTACCTTTTATATATCCACCTTATATTTATGCACCAACTAACAGTTAATTGTCACTGTACATAGATCACTGCATGTATATTAAATGTTCACTATGTACCTTGTAAATGAAGCATCGTTACTGTGTTTTTAACTCATTCATCATTCATATTTGTATAATGTTATTGTACTCACCCTGTTTTGAATTTGAAACTTTACATTGTTAGTTTTTAAGGGATTGAAATATGAACATGATAAAATTTGTACAGCCAGCGGTATATAACATGGTATTAAGACTGTAAGGTTATGTATGATAGTTTGGCTGTAGACTAGTTACACTGTTAGGTCATGAATGGGGTCAGGTGGCACTTTAAGGTTGTGCATGGTCTGGATCCATGCTGGTCGCAAACCCATTATGTTGGTTTTGCCGTGACGCGGCTCATATAATGCATTATGGAAATTGAAGAGTGCTGTTGTGCTCAGGTTAGTAACATATTCGAGGTAAACTTATTTCACTAGTGGTCAATCCCATCATTGTTCACAAATTAACAATCATTATGAAAGGTGACCCTATTCAGATAATTTTTATTTTCTTTATTGAACAGATCTACACAACATGATACCTTCTAATTAGATTTACATTTTGAAATAAGAAAAATAACATACAAAGTAACTCTAAAACTATTATTTTACTTTGTTTGTATGTATCCTAAATCATCCTAATTCACTGTGATTTTCTCTTCCTCTCTTTTTTTTTTTTTTAAATTTTATTCACCATTTTTAGCTCACCTGACCACAAAGTGGTCAAGTGGGGCTATGTCTGGCGTCCGTCGTTGTGCGTCATCAACAATTGGGTTGCTAACAGTCTAGAAGTCACAGTTTTTATTGGATCATCATCAAACTTTGTCAGAATGTTTGTCTCAATGAAATACAGATCGAGTTCTAAGATGGGTCATCTCGGGTCAATAATTAGGTCACAGGAGCTAAAAATAGAAAAATCTTGTTAACACTCTAGTGGCTGCAGTTTTGATCCAAGTACTCTGGAAATTTATCAGGAATGTTGTTTTGATGATTTCTAGGTCAAACAAAGATGGGTTATCTCCAGTCAAAAGTTAGGTCACAGGAGCTAAAAATAGAAAAATCTTGTTAACACTTTAGTGGCTGCAGTTTTGATCCAAATATTCTGGAAATTGGCCAATAATGTTGTTTTTATGATTTCCAAGTCAATTTTGATTATTGGTTGTCTCAGATCAAAAACTAGGTCACAGGAGCTAAAAATTGAAAAATCTTGTTAACACTCTAGTGGCTGCAGTTTTAATCCAAATATGCTAAATATTTGTCAGGAATGTTGTTTTGATGATTTCTAGGTCAAGTTCGAATATGGGTCATCTCCGGTCAAAAACTAGGTCACAGGAGCTAAAAATAGAAAAATCTTGTAAAAACTAATGGCTGCAGTTTTGATCCAAATATTCTGGAAATTTGTCAGGAAGGTTGTTTTGATGATTTTAAAGTCAAGGTTGAATACGGGTCACCTAGGGTCAAAGCTAGGTCACGCTGCCTAAATATGGAAAAAACCTTGTTAACACATCAAACTTGGTCAGGATGCAGACATTGCTCGGATGTGGTTGATGGGTCAGGGAAGCAATCTAGGGCCATCATGGCCCTCTTGTTTTTTAAGTTTTCAAAATAATTCTATCAAAATATTTTCATGTAGTAGTCTGCAACTAAACTTTTAATAAGATTTTTTGTTTTAACCGAAGACAAAATAAAATGTACAACAGTCTTTTCTGAATAAACCACAGGACAAGACATTGTGATTATTTTAACCTTTACCACCCTATATGTTTTAAATGGACTTGTCCATCTTTCAATATGGACAAAACCATTCATTACTTTTCCAAAAAATTTAAAAATATGTACTGAATGAATTTGCAGACCATGATCAGACAGCATGGATGAAACTTTACCATGCTATATGTTTTAAATGCAGAACTATTCATTACCTTTTAGGGAAAATTTTCAAAAAAATTATTGACTGAATAATGAAAAGTGCAGACAGATATGGTAGTCTGGCTAATCTTGGTCCACACTGTTGCTGCCATCAGGCTTAAAGTTTACATACTCCATTAATTTTTTTTAACTTTAATTTTTAAAATTAGTGACAAGTGTTGAATAGAGATGAATTAGCAAAGTTACGTATTTTATTATCTACAAAATCAATTGTTCCTTATCAGAAGGATAAAGAAAAACATTGTATCTTCTTTATTACTATTACTTCATTTCATATGAATTTCAAAATTAAGCAGAAAACTCCTCTAAAGTAACACTTTGACCAACTTAACTTACATATGTTTTTCTTTGGGCCTTGGTAGTTGAGTCAGGTTAACTGTTCCCAACTTAAAATTTACTTGCCCCTCTGACAGATTTGTGAGTTTGAAATCCACAAGAGACTTTGTTTTGTTACACGTACTGATGCAATCCGGCTCAAGTTCTACTCCGGTTCCTGCTTGTACCTGATATAATGCACACTAGAGGTATCTAAGGGTATTTTCCTACCAGTAAAGCTTGAATGTGACTGTATAACCTTTACACTAAGTGGGACTTCATTTTTTTGATATTTTTCTGGTCCTTTGGGATCATTGATTGAAATTTGAGTACCACTCAGACTGGTCCTTGGGGGCACAAGGAATGTTTTTCATTATCCGTCATGTACAGACTCAATCAAACCGAGTCTGCAATTTTCATGTACTTTTGTTGTGATTAATGCTTCTGAGGGATCACCTTTCACCAGATTTTTAAATCACAACAAATAGTAAAATTCAGATAGGATTTTGCTAGTGATAACGCTGGAGTTGGCATGCTTTGGCTAATGCCATTCTACGGCATGTATGAACAAGTAATGTTCATGATTAAGTTGTAAAAATATCAGTTTTTATAACCAAGTTTATGATTGGCCTCGGCTAGATGGGTGTGCAAGAACCTCAATGGATTTCAACCATACTTTCCATTGTAAGGAAGTTCCCTCGGGCGCAATTATTTGTTGTGTTTTTATCATTTTTATCTAATTATGGCCCTTTGTTTTATTTCTATATTATTTTATATTTACAGAAATATTCTTCTGTGCACAACTCTTACATATTTCAAGGGATTCTGACTAAAATTTTCATAGAATTATAATTAACTAACAGGTATGGAATGCTTTAAATGTTATGCCCCTGATCTTGAGACATGAGACTGTATAATTATAGCTCCAGAGTCAACGTGATCTCTGTACCCATAAAAAATTTGATGACAAGTTTCAGTATGAAAGGAGAGTATGTTATAGTATCAAACTGTTTACTATTAGGGGAGAAGATGTGTAAATTGCCGGATAGCTCATTCAGTAGAGCTAAAGAACAGTATTCTGAGGGTCCAGATTTGAATCCCTGTCAGGCTGTACATTTCTCTCACCCTGTAAGAACCTTAAAAAAGTTAAGTCGGAATAGTTTTAAGTTTTGTTTATTGTACAATGTCATATGTAAGTAGAATATGGAACAATTGTATTTAATTAAACAAATTACACGCTATAATTATTGGTGGAATAAATGTCTTTAATACTGGAACAAAGGGAGATTATACTGGCTCTTTTATGTGAGATCATCCATACATGTGAACTCTTCCACTTTTAGCGGGTGACTCCCACTTTCTGCAGCCATTATTTTCAAAGATTTTTCTTAAAATAAGGGGTATTTTCACAAACTAAAGAAATCTCCCTCTTTTTGATGTCTGAGAACTATCTTCTTTGTTTATTGCAAATTCTAAAATCTCCCTCTTTGAAGAAAATCTCCCACTTGATCATCGAAAATAGTTCACATGTATAGAGATACTCTATTTCCTTTAAGTCTTATAGGAGAGGAGATAGCGCACTCCATTCCTCGTCGTCATCCTCAAAGTTGTCAGGTGGATGAAGTTTACTATTACAACGTTGAAAAAAAGCACCAGTTATCGACATCGCTTTCTTGTAGTTTTTATAATCATATATTTCCACAGTCTGTTGCATCTCTAATAACTGGTCCCTCATTTTCTCAAGTTCTCCTAAGAGATGAAGTCTTTTTGTATTATCTTTGTTATAGTTTTCTTTCTGTTTGAATAATTTTGGAAAAGTGGAGGTATATTTGTGAATACACATGTCATTCAGTACATCTACCAAACATTGACATATTTCTTCTGTGTCAGGTTCTGCACACTTATAATGATGAAAAATCATCACTGTTTTTATCATATATGATGAGTATAGCTTTATATCTGACCTACTAGATATCTTCACGTGTTCCTCGTTATTTCCATTTATTAGATATTTAAGAAGACGGTACACGATTTTATGATTTTGTGAAAGAAGATCTCGCATGACGTGAACTTCTGTTTCTGTGAATGTGATACTGTCATGTACAATCAGAATGGTTCCAGTTTGTAATATTTCTTCTCGGAATGGATCTAGAGGACAATATTTATCCACAATCTGTCTTAGATTTTTATCTTTTATAACAATTGTTGGGACCACATCTACATTAACATCTTTTCTTTTACCAGATTCGTTGTCATATATGAAATTCATTGTCATAGCAGGACGAGATTTTCCGCAATACCTATCGAAATAAATTTTTCTTGCTCCATCTTTAGAAGAAATACAAATGTCTTTCTTATCTGCCCTAGTTTCAAAGTCGATAGCACATTTTCTGATTAGTTCGTTTGTCCTGGCAATTATTCGTACAAGATGTTCTTTAAGCTCGCTATCCATGCATTTTGTCTCTTCGCAAAAATAAAACAGACAAATGATATCAAACTCATCGGGAAAATTATTTTTTGTGCCTTCGTAAAAACTCCCAACTTTCAGGATGTCTCCTGCCCTTTTTGATATTTTCCCGCCAACTGAATTATACAATTCTATGTCTTGTTCAATTACCCTCCAAAGGGCTTGGTTCACTAACCCCATAAAAGTGCCCTAAAATTTTGAAAAAATAAAATAGCTTAACCAAATCAAATGTGTTTGTTTTTATGTAGACCTATCCTAAACCTGTACAAATATGTAGCCTATTAAGATTTTGTGATGAATTTTTCCAACAAAACTATCACTTTCACACACCCTGGTTTTAACTAAACTGGCTTTTCTGTGATTTTTTTGCATGTTTTATCCTAAAAATAGGTATGAGCCACCACATGTGCCAATTTATCACTTGGCATCAGTGGTCAATAAATAAAAACAAACATGAAAATGTATGTTTGCAAGTGGCACACGTGGTGGCTCATATCTAAATTTGAACTTAAGGCACAATCATAATTGAAAAAATCATGTTTAAAAATTCAATTTCAAATAAAACAATTATGTCATTACATGTTGTATCAATAAATAAATTACAAATATCTATAATAAATAATCATTTCAGCAATGTCTGTTGTTGAGAAACTATTAGACTTAATGTTTTATCTGTTAAATATAATTTTATAACAACAAGGACGAAACGATATTTTCGAAACGGTTTGAGTACGAATATCGCTGTTGCCAACGATAAATCTTTGTAAACAACGACACCACTACAAACAAGGTAGATTTAAATGTTTATTATATTCTTACCCCAAAATAAATATTTCACATTATTAAACATAGATCTATATATATTTTAAATACTGTATACTTTATTTGAGAAAAGTCATATTCTTCTAAATTAAATAAATAAACGATCGGCTAGCAGCAGCGGTGCAATCAAGTGTAGAGATCCAAACTTGAATGGCTTCAATCTTAAATGGATATGTATGTGAACAAATTTTATTGAAAATGGGTTTACAATGTAATTAAGTTATGAAAAATATGAAAACGGTATTTGAAATATGTGCTATAAATGAATATTTAAACAATAAACAGAGCCGTCTGCAGGTAATTCTATTTTTAGCTCATGCGTGCGATCGATATCAAGTACTTGATTACTTGGCGCTCAATTTATAAATTCCCCTGTAGCGCAGTGGATGAGACATCTGCTTATGACGGGAGCGGCCCGAGTTCGAATCCCACTACTGATGATTTTTTTTTTTTATTAGTTTTTTTTTTCTTACAGGTATGGTCAAGCATTACATCTGCACAATTTGCAATAGAAAAGCAAATCGTCGAGACAGAAGACCTGTACCGGCAAATATTCAGAAATATTTAAAGAAAAATCTGTCAATTACTTGCACATCCGATAGTGTTGTGTGTTCTGGATGCAGAATCAAATTTTATAGAAAACTTAGAAAACCAAAAGAATCAGGTCCCGTACCGGTTGATGAGAGGGGTGATGCTGGTGATGCACTCGTTCCGCCGTCCACAAACGAACGATTCACTAGTCCTCCATCGGTAAGTGCACGCGATTACAACCATAATATATTTAAGAAATTAATAATAATCAATAAGTAACATTACATGGTATAAATGCGTTATTTTAATGTTGTATTATCTGTAACCTAAATAGATATTTAACATGGACTGTTAGGCACACGTTCCACAATATATAACATAGGTAGCTTAAATCATCATATTTACTTTGTGTTTGAGTTTGAAATAGTTTTTTGTCAAATGGGATTGCAGTATTTTAATTGTTAAATATGAAAATGAGATGTATATGCTTAATTCAAAATAAAATATATGTTCTGTTCTGTTCAGTATTTTAAATGAATCGTAACACATTTACTTTGGTAATCAGCAAACTGTGAATCAATGTAGTAAATCGACTGTTTATAAAAAATATTTTAATTTGAATTGAAATGAATATAATTAATTTAAAAACACCAAGTTCGTTAAAAGTTTATTAGTACACAATTAAATTGGTCACGCGACCAAACGTGTACATTACTACGTATTCTCAAATCAGTCGAGCGGCTCTTGGTAAAATTAAGTTTTAAAATGCTCAACACTTACTTATACTTAAAACTTCTTAGGACATTATTATTATTATACCATTTCTTACATTACAGGTAATGCTGAAAATCTCTTCCACAAGCAGAAGCCACAGCCGCTGTTTCGTGTGCAAAAGGCCTGGACCAAAGTTGGTGTGCCTTCCAGCAGAAGGGCGCTTTACAGTCTTCCTTGACCACAACATACTAGTACCAGCAGACGCAAGGTGTTGTCCAGTCCATATTTCTGATGGGACTCTGACTCAAGACTCTTTTTCAAACATACAAACGCTGACAAGTACCTCTTTGCTTAATCGATCTTCAATATGTAATATACTTCAAAAAATGAGAAACGCTTGCCTAAATCAGAATACATCACTTAATTTTGATGCATTAGACGAACGTGATTATCCATCTCTTACTGGGCTTACCAAACCACAGTTTGGTGATTTTTGCAGTCATTTACTTCAACACATTAAAACAACGCCTAAAAGGTCTCCAAGAACAACCGTTGGACTTTTTCTTGTTAAGCTTTACTCTGGAATGTCCAATAAACTCCTGTCTACAATATTTTGCTTAAGCAAGTCAAGCGTTCGCCGCGCAATTGAGACCGTTCGTCTAATATCAATGAGAACATTTGTTCCGCTATATCTTGGCATTGAAACTGTCCCAAGGTCAACCCTCATTCAGAACCACACACGCCAACTTGCAAAGACACTTTTCAACGCTGATGACAACCAACTGATCCTTGTTCTTGACGGAACATATATTTATATCAATAAGTCAAATAACTTCAAGTTCCAGAGGCGTTCATTTAGCATGCACAAAGGCCGGCCATTGGTTAAACCTATGGTTGTTGTTACAACAACGGGTCACTTTGTAACTATAGTTGGCCCTTACCTTGCAGATGGCAAAAACAACGATGCGGCTATACTGAACCATATGCTACGTGCCAATATTCAAAACTTCCGGGAGTTTTTACAGGAAGGAGATATTCTGGTAGTTGATCGTGGCTTCCGGGATTCGCTGACTCTCCTCGCTGACCTTGGAATCAACGCTGAAATGCCTGCCTTGATCAGCAAAGGACAAAAGCAGCTATCGACGAAGGAAGCTAACTCTAGTCGGCTAGTTACAAAAGTATGTTTAAAGGCACATCGTGCATCATAAATTCATATTTTTGTCATTCTTTATAAATGTCAGACAAGTTATAATAATGCTTTAATAATGAATTTAGAGTATGTTTCAATTAGATAATTTACAACTTAAGAAAATAGCGCTGAATGTGTTGTAATATATCGTAAAGTAGCATAATATATACAAAGTAGTATTTTGACTTCCGTACAAAAACTTATCCACTATGTAATTAAACCAATTGTCAACTGTGTTGGAGTAGCAAAAATCATTGTTTGTGTATAAAGCAAATGAGTATTTTATGGAAAATGTAACATGGTACTTTTTTTTAGGAATAAATTGATAGCATGAATTGATGGGCCTTTAATATATTTAATCGGGTTTCTTAGAATATAAATATTTGTTTAGGCAAATGAAAAACATTTGATGCAGTAACCATATGCTACGTTTTTTAAAATTAGTCTGCTTTAATAAAGCTAAAATGTAAATAATACAATAACTTATAAATAATATTCAAAACATTTTGTTTTCTTAAAAAAGCCAGGGTGAAAATGGTTATCATATCTAATAGGATACATTTTTAAAGGTGTTACTCATGATTTATGCGTACATCAGCTTTTTTTTTCAAAATAAAGTTTCTCAGCTGTATATTGCTTAGTACGTATTTACGTTTTTTGGACGATTCATGTTATCAAATTATCATTATTAAAAAATAAATAATACAAATAATCATGTCATCAAAATTAAACAGTGTCTTTTTTAAAGAGTTGGACGAAATATATAAGTTATGTTTATAGAAGAAAAGTATTGACCTAGTGCTTGAACTAACGACCCATAGTTTCAAAAAATGACAGTATTTCTAGCCTATTTAGATACTATTCAAATTGAGTTTATGTATAAAGGTTGTTCTCCCTTAAAACTTAAATGAATATAGTGTAACGTTTGTGTTTATTTGTAATTATACCATTTCTAATTTTCAGGTACGATGGGTTGTTGAATCGGCCAACGCTCGAATCAAACGGTTCAAAATGCTTGCAACAGTACTTCCAGGCAGCCAGGTGCCCTTCATTTGAGACTTTGTTAGGATTGTATGTGCTATATGTAATAAATACCTTCCTGCACTGAGTTCACCGTCTCAGACAGAGGCAGATACGCAAGTTGCCCAACAAATGTTGTTGTTGGCTGAACGAGCCAATACATTACAAGAGTATGTACAAGAGCGTGGTCTCGAACGGAAGTTAAAAGTATGGAAGTCGGTTGAGGATGTACCGTTTCCGCGACTGTCAGAGGAAAATCTACACGACCTTACGCTTGGTGTATATCAGTTGAAGCTTGCGTCCAGTTACATCCAGGAGCATCTCACTGGGGCATATGACATACATGTCCATGTAGATGACACGTCACTACTGACAGTACGGTTGCAGAGTCGTCACACAAGCAGCAGACGATATCTCATTTGGATACGGTCCAGTGATACGGCAGTAGAGGCTTGGTACTGCCAGTGCCGTGCCGGGGCACGAGTTGTTGGAATGTGCGCGCATGTTTCGGCCATCGTCTGGTATCTTGCTTTTGCTAGGCATCAAGAAAGCACGCGGTACGGTGTAAGGGACTGGGGTAGTCATCTAGAAGATGCCGCTACATTCCAAATCGACTCCAGTTCTGACAGTGATTAAACATTTGCAAATAATGAATACAAGAGACAACGGACTTTTACAATTGTAAAATTATAAATGATTCTTTATCTTTTATCATTTTTCGGCTTTTTAAACTGTTAAGATAATCGACAATCAGTAACTTAATCAATAAGAATATTTGGTAATTATAATACAATATAAAATGTTGTAATTATTATTCCTGTAGGTACATTTATTGACTTTGTAAAGAACTTTTTTTGCCAGACAGTCAATAGCTTCAGTTACTCATTTAATTATGACAAATTAAAATAATTATTCAATTTCTCTTACACAGTGTAAGATGAAGGTATCAAAATGAGTATTGAACCCCGTCACTCGCTGATGAATAATCAAAATATTACTGCGAGCTGTACAATCAGTGCGGATGTGTGTGAACAACTTTTTTTGGTTATAGAATTAAATAAAAAAGATTATTTTTTCGTCTGAGTGATAAATGGAACATATTTTCAATCAACATGATCAAATTCAAAATATTCTCCATCGCCAGTCCGGCCGTAGAAATATATAGAATCTTATAATAAAATGTCCTCTAATTATATAGCTGTATAAAGAAGGTCAATAAATACATGTAATAAAAATGGCGGAGACTGTTTTTGAAAAAAAAAATGGAACTCAAAAAGAAAAGTGAAATGAAAATACATGATTTTTTTGAAAAAAATTCACTGCTTTTGTTATTGCTTTAATTATCGTCAGATAATAGGTCCGAAATGAAACGAGCTTCATTTACATAATATGTGTAATGTTAAAATTTAAAAAAAGTAATATAAATAGGTATTTATGTTTATAGTTTCTATAATTAAGAATCTATATTTTATTTCTCAGTTATCTAAAATAAAAAATTCAAACGGCGCTATGAAACGTCAAAATTTGCGGATTATTTTCCCGCGTCGATGACGTCGCGCTAACAATGTACATAATACGTACATGTTTCTCAGGCTTAGAAACAACGTCATATATGATAATAATGAAATAAAAATAGCTGATTTTAAAATAAGATTGTTCAAATCTGAATTACTGTAAGTTTCAACACTTTTCGAGGTTGGGCCAAATTTGATGGTTAGTGAACCAAGCCCTTTGATCATCTTCTGAAACCCTTTGCACAAGTTTCAATACCATTGACTCTATACCAGTCTGAATAAAAGCTGTTTCTTGCAAATCAATTTTGAATTTACATTCACTCTCAAAAGCATCTTTCAAATAAAGTTCAAGATTATTCCTTTTTTCAGCCATATTTTATTTATTATACAGCACATTTTTACAATCCATTCACATCGTGTTTTAGGATTATCGAGAAATTTGTAGCATCAAATAATATGTAAACGCTCGATTTTCTGAGGTTTTAAATGTACAATGTATATCATTGTGCATAAGCTACATCTTGACATTCTTGTCATGTCAATTGAAAAAAAAAGTTCGACATAATGTCCTCTTACTAAAATAAAAAACAAAACACTTAACATAAATGCAAATGATTTTAACGAGGTTATAAACATTATTTATAACAGCTGTCCTAATTATAGATGAGCAATGCATAAAAAATGTGTATTATATAACTGCTGCATGAGAGAAATATACAAGATTACTCGCAGCTGTCTGCTCTACATTAATGATTGTAAATATGTTTATGGGAAGGAATTTTAAAGACCAGAAACATAAAAGCAACAAAAAAAACAACAACATTGCTGTCAGTATATTTTAATAAATTAAAGTAGTGCACTATTTCAGCCTTGCCAGGTACAGAATGGTCATGGAGAACTAAACTGTCCTTACCTTGCAAGTTTTAAGTGTACTGTACTCAAGTAGGCCTACTTGAGAAGCTGTTTTTCTTTTATTCTTTAAGCAAGTGATGATATCTACCAGTCATAAACATACAATAAGCTGTGTTTTATTTAGAAAACAAAACACTAACCCATTTATAAGGTTATGATCTGTGAAATCTGATCCTTCTGTATCCAGAATATTCTTTGCATGGTTTTTGACAAAGTGCATTTAGAAAATAATGATGATATCCTACAGATGTCTGTCCACCAACTCTATCTGTAACGTTTCACTGGTTAAAATTGTTAAATAATCCTTTGTTGCATGCTTTAATTGTCTGCATGTTCCAGTTTGACACAAAATTATTCACATTACAATTATTTTCGTTGAAAATGGATGTTTACTTTTTGACTATTCAAGAAAAAGATATTTTATACGCGAAAAGAACTCTAGGGTGCAAATAACTAAATTTTATGAGAGTCATAGTTACTTCGGCAAAGCCCTATCGTCGAGAATAAGAATGAATTGAGAAAAAAATGGCGGCCATTTTATTTCATTTTATTTAGAAAATGGACCACGTGACCAGATGTTATACTGTTAAAAAATACTGTTACCTATGTAACAGTACAAAATTCTTAGTCACGTGGTACACTTGCATTAACAGTAAGAATAATTTTCAGAGGCCTATGGGAAATTAACATTACGAAAAAAGTGAGGGGTAATACATGTAATTGTAAATAACCTTGTGAAATATTATAAACTTTTTACATGGTACGATTAAATAACTTTTTTTCACTGTAAAATCAATTTCTGTTTTACCATTGAACAATGCATAAATTTAAAAAGCTTTTAAAACTCGGACCTATTTTCAAATATGAGCAGTAATTTTTTACCTTGACACCGGAAAGAAAAATTCCTAATTTCATTGCAAATCTATAAAAATTGTTACTTTTTAATGTAAAATCTGATAATGTAATGTAGCCAAGATTTGTTTTCAGTAATTTTTTGATCGATTTAACAAAACATTAGCTTATAATTTGATTTTTCAATGGTGATGTACTGTGCCAGATCACGGTTTGTAGACAATCTAATCACGTGACTCAGCCGAGACATCTTTTTTATGCTCCCCGAAAAATTTCGGGGGAGCATATAGTCGCCAGGTTGTCCGTCCGTTCGTACGTCCCGAATTTGTCCGGCCCATAACTTTGTTATTTGAAGTCCGATTTTAAAACTGTTTCACAGAAATGATCACCATATTGAGACGACGTGTCGCGTGCAACATTTGGGTCGCTACTTGAAGGTCAAGGTCACAGCCTGACCTTGCAGCAAAATCGTGTCCGGCTCATAACTTCATTATTTGAAGTTGGATTTTAAAACTATTTCACAGAAATGATAACCATATTGAGACAATGTGTCGCACGCAACATTTTGGTCGCTACCTTGAAGGTCAAGGTCACAGCATGACCTTGCAGAAAAATCAAGTCCAGCCCATAACTTCGTTATTTGAAGTCAGATTTTAAAACTATTTCACAAAAAAGGATCACCATATTGAGATGACGTGTCACGCGCAACATTTTGGTTGCTACCTTGAAGGTCAAGGTCACAGCATGACCTTGCAGCAAAATGGTGTCCAGCCCATAACTTCTTTATTTGATAGTTTAACAACTATTTCACAGAAATGATCACCATATTGAGACAATGTGTTGCATGCAACATTTGGGTTGTTTTTACACTTTGAACTTTGTCTGTGACACTATAAGAGGTATACCTTCCTGTGTCCAAAACCTATTCGGGGATCATCACCCGGTTCAACCGGCTCTTGTTTGTAAAATTGATCCAACTCCAGACCATTCTATTTGAAAGACCCTGATATAAGTTAATGACACTATTAGTATTTATATAAAATGCTTAGGAAACATAAGGAACCATGTGCACTAGTAACATCTGAGCAGAAATAAATTATTATGCTTTGACAGGGATTTTTTTTCAATTTTCAAAATATCCTGTGGAATTTCTGAAGTGGAAATATGACACAATTAACCAGAAAAGGGGGGAAACCTTAACTTGTGATGAAAAATGTGCACAGGGTATTTCAGGGGAAAAATAGCGTTTTAAGGAGAAAATATACCTATTTTGGACTGGGGGAAACAGCCTTTCTAGGGGGGAAATCACTGATTTGAGGTTAATGATATAGTGCTTAGTTGATATCAAATGCATTAACTCTCAGAATGCTAGTTTGCAATAATAAACAGTGCCTATACTACCACTATAGAACCAGGCTTGCCAGCATATACATGTACTTACAGTCTGGTCAGACTATTTACTGTTGCCTTTTCATTTTCATGTTTTAATATGGACATTTCTTTAACTAACAATGAATATTAATAGTTTCAAAATCAAAACAGGGCAAACCTTTTTTTGTCATTTATCTTAAATTGGTTTCCCATTACTCTCTTGGTATTTGTTTTTTACTTGAGTAACAATCATTAAACCATTGGTCTTACTTAATATTTCTACATAAAAATATTCATAATTTATTGTCTGTCTTGCTTATATATGTACTACATTTGGAACTAATTAAAAAATGCTTGGTCTTATTTCTTTATATGACAGTTAGGAAAATAGTGTTTTTGTTTGTTCTGATCCATTAAGTTTCATATCATTCCCTGCTTGGTTAACTCCCCTGTTCTTCCCGATTAGCTCAGTAGGAAGAGCAAAACACAAGTTTATTTCACTAAGATTTGATTGACAAGAATATGTTTAATGCCAATTGTTCTCCTAGCCATTTAGATAATAGTTGTGGATAAAATTGCCAGTTACTTGTGGAAAATCTCAGTTTTGTTCTGGTAACTCAAATTATGTAACTGCCTGTTGGTTTTGGACTTAAAAATGCAGTCAAAACTGGCTCTTAGCCCTAACTAAAAAATGAAACATTATATAATGTAATTAGTCACCTTGTAGTCATGGTTACTGTAATCCTTTTCACAGAGGCATGTAACTATTTGTTCGTGTATGAATATGTGGTGGATATTGAGCTTAAAACTGATACTTGGGGCGCCATTAAACGTGGCGTTACCACAAAAAGCTTGAACGTCGAGGAGGACGATGATGATGACGATGATAATAGAAAACACAAAAAGAAGAAAAATATGAACAGAACTCTCCTACTTGGAGGAAGAAAAGATGGATATATTTGTGTTTATGACTGGGAAACAGGCAATGTGGACTTTAAAATAGATGTAAGTTTTTGAATGACATAACTAATTTTGAAATTATCAAGCATAATAAAAAGTGCAGTGCTCAAGAACCATAACTATCTAAAGTAATTACAGAGTTATTGCTCATTGTTAATTTTCAATTGCTTTTTCTTGTCCGGAGCATAACTTGAAAACCACTTGTTGGAATTCAATACAACTTCATACAATGGTCAAGCACATTGAGAGGAAGTGCAGTGCTTAAAAATCATGACTCCATTTTGACTGATTACAGAGTTATTGCCATTTGTTACTTGTCCAGTGCATAACTTTAAAAACTAGAAGTTTGAATTCAGTACAACTTCATACAATGGTCAAGCGCAATGAGAGGAAGTGCAGAGTGCAATAAACATAACTCCATCTTCAGTATTTGCAGAGTTATTGCCCTTTGTTCCTATTCCTTGTTCCCGTGCATAACTTATAGCATAATACTACTTCATACAATAGTCAAGCGCAATGAGAGGAAGTGCAGTGCTCAAGAACTGTTACTTTTTCTGGACTTATTATACAGAGTAATTCAATAAAACTTCATCAATGGTCAACCACAGTGAAAGGAAATGCAACATACAAGAACTACAATCTTTAATTGCCCATAACTATAAATCTATTTTAAATTCTTTTACAAAGTATTCTGTTACTAGTAACTTCCTCAGGGGGTATTAATCACATTTAGTGATTTAGTGATAGCTCTAGTTTTCTTTGGTAATGAGCATGCTAAAGTTGTGGTATTAATATCTTAGACTCGTGGCAAAAATAGTGTGAGATAGGAAAATAATGGTAGGGAATAGAGGGCAATAATGATGAGGAATATGTGGTAAGAGATTGATATGTAAGGTGTGATGATAAATTCTTTTGCTTGAATATGATTTGAATATGATAATGAGATATGGTAAAATATTTTCAGGCTCATGGCAGTAAAGGAGTAATGAGCATGATAGCTAATGCTAAAGTTGACCAGCTTATTTCTGCTGGAAAAGGTAACATGTATTTCCTTTAAATAATAGCCCTATTCTATACTTTTTTGTACATGCATATCATGATTAACTGACAAAGCAAAATTTAACAATTGATTAATATATTAGTTATAAAGGAGTTTTTTTTTTTTAAATTCAGATTTTCCCCCAAAGGTTTATAATTCATTAACACAAGATTGTTTATCATTTTATGTTTTATTTACAGACAATGTGATCAAGGTATGGCGGGTGTACCCGTTTGTACAGGAGGCACTAGCGCCACTGATGTCATTTTTCTGTGCCCACCTACCTCTACACATGACTATGATAAAAACTAACCTATGTGTAGCCTTCCAGGACCATGCCACAGCAACATACAGTGTCGTTATGTATAATCTACGTGACAGAAGTAAGTTTACACATTCTTACTTTGTTGTTTTTAAAAGTTACTTCAAAAATTTTACAACTTCTTCTCTCATCTCATTTTAAATTTTTACTCCATTATGTTTTATAGTCTTTTCTTAATATTTCTTTCAATATATATTATAAGTGTAACTAAGATAAAATTGAGGTCTTTTTTTTTTCTTTAATTTTTGGAGAGATTTTACATGCATATCTGAAAATGTTTCATGTTTTTGTATCATTGTCTTTGATTATCTGTTCTTACTAGAACCTCTATGGTGTCAAACACATGATAAGAATATAGTCATTTAAATAACATGAGCATTTTTTTTTAAGTGAAGCATCATAAAAATATTGTAATTTATATAAGCCTTTACCAATGGTAAAATTTTGTTGAAGTCATCAAAAGGTAATCTGGGACATGGTTTTTGATTTAATTTAATTTCAGACCAAGTTTTTAGAAGTGTATCACATTATGTAGTACATGAAAAGTTTAATGATAAAATAGTTACATTACTTAGAGTCAATCATATATGCAAAGAAATGAAATAAAACTTTTTTTCTAAGCTTTTAGTTTTATGTGCTTCTATTATTTTTTATGAAGAAACACATCAGATTTTTGTATTGATGGCTAGACAGCTAGTAAGTGAACTATTGTTATGCTATTTAAAACATAAACATTCAATGAAAGTATTGTACTCATAAATTTATTAGGTTCTTTTTACAAGGCTGTCAGGCCACACAGTTTTTCACATTTTTACTATTTCATATGCATGTTATATCTAAAATATGTTGTATAAAAAGTACAATTATTGTTATGATTATAAGAGCCAGAGATTTAAAGAATGTAACTGATTATGTATATTTTCACATTGACCAAGAAAAAAACAATTCTATATTATGCCTGCTATGGGAATGTTACAGTGTTCGGGACCGAGTCTGATTTGGAAGCATATGACCCGGAAAGTAAGTCGAAGTGCATTATGGGTATTAGATATATTTTGCTCCCCTCAGGTTATAGGTATCAGGTTATATAGGAATAATGGTGCACTTACATAATGGCATAAGGGTGTCTCTTATGTAACACATTTAGGAATCTATTGACAGTTAGGAATCTATTGACAATATTGATACACACACTCCCACAGGGTATTAATATAGTTCTTTTATAATAAAAATATAACTCTCAAACTTTTCATTAACAAAGTATTAATGTCCCTTATTTGTCAATTGGAAACTGTGGTATCAGGGAAAAAATATATATCTTCATATCTTAAACATATCTTACATTATAGTTACTTTTATTTCCTTGATTAATGATTATTCTATATTTAAATTACATGGACGGGAAAAAAAGAACATTATTTGAATTACTTATTTGTTACATTGTGCACTGGAATGGTTTCACATATAGACACATTTTGTGATTATGGAGAATGGCTTCTTTTTTTGTTTCCCTGTTTTCTTTGCAGTATCAATCTTGCTGACTGGTAAAATCATGAGCCATGTCTTTACAAACTGCATGTTTATTAAGAAAGAACATTTTCAGTGTATTGAAATAAAACCTTTCATATAGTAACATTTTCTTATATTACCACTGGCTTATACATTTTGCGTAAAGTCTCCAAATTGTAACCCATGAGTTTGAGAGAGCTGTAGATCTCAAAAATGTTTGGTGACACTGGTGAATTTGCTGAATTTAAAATCCCAAGTCAACTTGTTTCCCACTTCCTAAAATGTTTATACAAATGTTGGTCTATTTTAGATTCAATCTTGAATCTTGAGTCTATATTAGATAACAATTAGGGTAATATAAGTGAAATTGTTTTCGGTGAAGAATAAGGTCATAAAGTCACATTTAAAATGCAATAAGCAATTAACAGTTACACTGGTCTTTTTCAGTACATTGGGTATAAATTTGACACGCCATGTTTGGTTACTATTAACTCTTTTGATACTAGTATTCCATAAAGTCTGCATGCAGGCTTTTAATTGAAAATATTTCTGTCAAATATTGTACTTTATTAAGATTTAAAGTAACAAAGAGTCATGCCAGAAAATTACGATGCATATTGTGTTTTATTTTGTATTAGTTTTAATATTTTTGCTTGTAGCAGTTTTCATGTTAGTATTTTATGCATTTATTTTTTTCTAGCTGATCAGCGTGTAAATCATAGTGAGTGCTACCGTGTAAACACATCGCATAAATAAAATATCTGACATGGTGCTGAGAAACAACATAGATATATACATGTACAGTATATTATGTCTTAATTATTTTAACTTAAATAATTGATACATGTCTTAACTTGGTGCCATGGCAACCCTTTAACTGTGTCCGTGTTTGTCTGATGAACAAAATTTCAGAACGTAAATGATTGATATAGAAAATTGGCTGTTTAGTTTGGTAAAATTTGTTAAAAAAAACAACATTGAAAATTTTTTAAAATGTTTCATTTTAGATTAATAAACAATTAATAGCTATCATAAATTTCTTGGTATTGAACAAAATGAGGATAACATGTCCATTTTGAATGCACTCCTGTTCTGTTTAAATTCAGGTTCTTTAAAAAAAAATGCAGGTTATTTTCAAATCCAGGTTCTATTTAAATCCACATGTTTGTTTTTAAACCAGGTACTTTTTAAATGCAGGTTAGGTTCTTTTTAGATCCAGGTGCTGTTTAAATGCAGGTTCTGCTTTAACATCATGACTTTTCTTTTGAAAGATTAATGGCTACTTAACAATGAAATAAAATAATATATTGTCTATATAATATCTATGTTGTTTCTTAAACCTGTCGGATATAAACTGGCTTTTTGAAATATATATATATTGTCAATATTTGTTGTGCGCATATTATACTGTGTAAGTATAAACAAAACCGTACCCCTTTGTTTTAATAATTATACATGATTAACTTGTATGAAGGGTTTCCTATTTTACACTTATATCAAACCATTGACTGGCTTGTTATTAGGAAGAATTTATAATGTAGTTTAAATTATAATACAATCTGTTGAATCATAGAGAAAATATTTGATGAAGGCGACCATTGTAAGTATATATCAAGAAAGTAAATTGACAGAAAGTTTGCAGTTAAAATTTGATGTAATGACATTATGCAGTAAATTGCCAGTAATATTGTCAACAAGTTGCCAAGCCACTTCCGATAGTAATGTGAATTTAAGAATTGCCATTTTGGGTAAAGGCCTAAAATGATTTTAGCTATAAACAAGAATTTGAATAATTACCAATTAAAATGTATTTCATGCATAATACCCATTTGCATAGTTATGGCAAAAATTTTCAAAATTCAAAAATAGGATTGCAAGTACAACTTTCTGTCAATTTTAATGAAAATGCCTCTAGCTGATGTATGTACATAACCAAGGTTCCAATTTTGCATGCCTCTATGTGGTATATGTTTTATATTTTTTTGTCAGAATCATATATGTTTGTATTTTATATGTAAAAAAAAAGTTTAATATATTAATTCAATCATGCCAGAGCTAGAAATGCTTAAAATAATGAAAAGTGGTTTGTAAGGAATTGAAATTATATACATGTACTGCATACTTGCTGTTTGACAAGAAATAATAATGAATATAGCCTGTGCTTATGAATTAATTTTTCATGGCAATTGACTTTAACAGAGTTATGCGAATTTTATATGTACAATTTTTTATGCTTTCTTGCATATTCAGATGGAAAAAAAACATATTTTTTAAAGAGCTATTTCAACAAAAAATAACTGCTTGTTTTTTCAGTGAAAAATAATAACACGTTAAGAATGAAGAAAGAAATAAAAACAATGAAAATTATTTACTTGTGTATCTCCCTATATAGTTTGATTGATCAAATATTATGTTGAAAACATAACAAGGGGAAGAAAAAAAACATAAAGAGGGTAAAGAGAGGTAAAACATTTGAGTAGAAAAAGGAAAACATTAAGAGGGTTGTGAAAGTGTGATATTTCGGTAGGAAAAGTGAAAATAATGGTGTCTGACTACATGTTTTATAATTTTTTTGTACATGTTTTCAAATGTTAGAAAATTAGATATTAACAGTCCAGGCAAGAAATAGTTCAAGCTATGATAGGACATTAACCCTTGCTGTATAACAGACTTGTCAAGGGACCGCCTCCGTGGTCGAGGGGTTAGAGTCGATGACTTCTAATCCAGTTACCTCTCTGGCTGAGTTCGATCCCCGGGAGATGCTTTGGTAGTTTAGCGCGGAGGAAGGTAGTCTAGTACTGGTGTAACTCTCCAGGAACGATGGTTAGGAAACTACCCGCCTATATGACTGAAATACTGTTGGAAAAAGACGTAAAATGAAACAAACAAACAAAGACTTGTCAAACTTTCATTTTGGAACTTTCCAGTTCAACATTGTTTATGTGATGGTTGCAAAAATCGAGCGACCAACTGTTAGGATAGACTACATTAAAGTAAAGGCTGGCCTGGCTCTAGACTGCTGACATGGACAAGACAAGTCATTAAATTGCTGCAAGCATTCTAAGGGGCCATATTGAGTAAAGACCTAAAAATTAAATAATATAATATTAACAAATTTGAACAGCAGTATGTGTAGTTTTATAATGATAGCTTTTTTTGTTATATAATATACCCATAGCTTTAAAGTGTATGCTTAGATTATATATATGTATGCTAAAAATAGCCAAACATTACAAATAGAACATCCAGCATGTTGAATATTCTTATCAATTCAGTTGTTTTATTACTTGGTACATGTAGTTTGTAAACAAAAAACTGTCAGTAAAGAATTACATGGTGACTAGATGGTGACTGTTGTACTAGGTGTGCTAAAATTTACAATAGTTTAAATGCTTAATGTCATAAAATTGTTTCTGCGGTTTTTATATTTGTGTAATTGTGATAACTGGGTCGCTTTTGTGCGTGTTAATAACTACTATTTTATTTTCTTTATGTACAGTGTACATATATACATGTATACCTAAATGCATGCAGTAGTTCTTCATTAATAAAAATCTAAATTGCATGATCATTTTATTAGTTCCAATTTCAGTTTTAAATATTTTCTTTAATCAAAGTATTTGTTGTTGTTATTCAGTAATATAAAGAAGGCATTTCATATTTCATTTGATTGTTTTGCTCCAACATTTTTCTAGAATAGAAATATAAAAAGATGTGCAGTATTTCGTGCAGTTTATATTATCATAGACTAGTTGCTTCTAGATTTTCTAGATGCTATGTCACAGTGTTGCTGATGTAGATATATAATGAGAGTTTTCTGTTGTTTTTAGATCGTTACGATCACGAACCTGGCGATGATCACGGGGAGACAATTACCGGACTGAGCGCATGCTCGAGGTTAAAGTTGTATGCTTCGAGTAGTTTAGACGGTACAATCAGAATATGGAATGAGACTAATACTCTAGTTAGGTAAGATATGACAAATTATTTCTTTTTGCCTAGAACCTAAAAATAGTATGTCATACAAGTTTGTTGTCATAGATAATATGAAAAGATATTTTTCTTACTTTTTAGCTCGACTATTCGATAAGAATAAGTAGAGCTATTGCAGTCACCCGAGCGTCGGCGTCGGCGTAACCACTTATGTTAAAGTTTTTGTAATAGTTCAAATATTTTCAAAGTCCATTGACATATGGCTTTGAAACTTTGCACACTTGTTCACCATCATGACCCCAACCTGTAGACAGGAGGACGTAACTCTATCAAGCATTTTGACAGAATTATGCCCCTTTTTCGACTTAGAATTTACGTTAAAGTTTTTGTAATAGTTCAAATATTTTCAAAGTCCATTGTCATATGGCTTTGAAACTTTGCACACTTGTTCACCATCATGACCCCAACCTGTAGACAGAAGGAGGTAACTCTATCAAGCATTTTGACAGAATTATGCCCCTTTTTTGACTTAGAATTTACGTTAAAGTTTTTGTAATAGTTCAAATATTTTCAAAGTCCATTGACATATGGCTTTGAAACTTTGCACACTTGTTCACCATCATGACCCCAACCTGTAGACAGGAGGAGGTAACTCTATCAAGCATTTTGACAGAATTATGCCCCTTTTTCGACTTAAAATTTACGTTAAAGTTTTTGTAATAGTTCAAATATTTTCAAAGTCCATTGTCATATGGCTTTGAAACTTTGCACACTTGTTCACCATCATGACCCCAACCTGTAGACAGAAGGACGTAACTCTATCAAGCATTTTGACAGAATTATGCCCCTTTTTCGACTTAGAATTTACGTTAAAGTTTTTGTAATAGTTCAAATATTTTCAAAGTCCATTGACATATGGCTTTGAAACTTTGCACACTTGTTCACCATCATGACCCCAACCTGTAAACAGGAGGAGGTAACTCTATCAAGCATTTTGACAGAATTATGCCCCTTTTTTGACTTAGAATTTACGTTAAAGTTTTTGTAATAGTTCAAATATTTTCAAAGTCCATTGACATATGGCTTTGAAACTTTGCACACTTGTTCACCATCATGACCCCAACCTGTAAACAGGAGGAGGTAACTGTATCAGGCATTTTTTTTACTATCAAGCACTAAGAATAGTCGAGCGTTGCTGTCCTACCGACAGCTCTTGTTTCGTTACTTATAAAACATGATTTCTGTCTATTCTTTTTGTTGTCAACAAAATTGTCTGGTATATAGAAAGATTGAGTTGGTTCAGAGCGACAAAGCTGTCTGATTTTCCTACTCTCCTATATCGTTGATTTGCTCAGTGTACTATTAGTAACATAAATATAAACATGTACCTATAATACCATACATGTGAACTCTCCCACTTTTAGCGGGAGACTCCCACTTTCTGCAGCCATATTTTCAAAGATTGTTCTTAAAATAAGGGATATTTTCAAAATTAAAGAAATCTCCCTCTTTTTGATATCAAAACTTTCTTCTTAATGTTTATTGCAAATTCTAAAATCTCCCTCTTTTTAAAGAATAATCTTCCACTTGATCATTGAAAAAAGTTCACATGTATGATCTTATACATAATTTTATATTATATGTTTACAGGTTATTAAAGATGAAGTCTGTACCTCACAGTGTTGGTTTTTGTAGTGCGAAGGGAGATCTTCTTGTTGGTATAGACAACCATCTATACAAGATACCATACTATTCTTGTAAGTCTGCTCTTACCACAATGAAAATCCAAAAAAATATTTTAAGGACTGATGTTCATTTGTACAAAGCCATTGTGTATGAGAGAAGGACATCTTATATACAATATAATATATACAATACATATATACAATATTTATGTCTAAAATTGTTAACTTAATTGTCATATACAGGGCTACTGATTGTTTTGGTTTCATTTTCTGCTTTACTTTAAGCACTTGACAAAACTATTTTATGTTTATATTTACATGGCTTAAATGTTGTACATATAGTTCAGGTTTTTTCATATACGTATATACTTCAAGATCTTTTGTGCCTTAAGAATTTTCTAAACTGAGAATGACGATGGCATAATGTAATGATGAATAATGCACTCCGTACTGTCTGTATTGTCAAAGTTACCTCCTTTATGTACATCAGTTATCATATCTCTTCGAGGAAGCCATCGTCGGATACTCGCGGTTGATTAACATGTAACATAACATAACATGTAATCTGATTCGGTCGTGGGTATCCCATGATGCGAGGAAGCTAAAATGTGTAAAAAAATTTAATTTGTATATTTCAGATCTCCCAAAATCTTACATGTTTAGAATGGTGTCAATGAAGTTTGGCAAACAGCCAGCAGAACATCCGTTACCGGAGACACAGGAAATAACACAGAAGATGACCAAAAATGATCTGTCGAGACTCAAAAATTCACACTCTTCTTTTAAGTGAGTACAAACTTTTTATTCCAGTGCAAATGTGGCCTAGTCAGGAAACAATAGTTGGTTTGACCCTTTAAGTTAAGTCATGTTTAGCTATATGTACAGTATCAGTATTTGAGCCGTGTCATGACAAAACCAACATAATGGTTTTGCGACCAGCATGGATCCAGACCAGCCTGCGCATCCGCGCAGTCTGATCAGGATCCATGCTGTTCGCTATCAGTTTCTTTACTTGTTATAGGGTCTGTAAGCGAACAGCATGGATCCTGATCAGACTGCGCGGATGCGCAGGCTGGTCTGGATCCATGCTGGTCGCAAAACCATTATGTTGGTTTTGTCGTGACACGGCTCATTTATATTCCAGTCATTTGACTTAAGAAAAATTAATAGGTTCATGTCTTTCATGATGAAAAACTATGGAAGCTTTAAAGGAACTCCACTGAGGACCAAAAGCCTAAAAAAACATAAAATTTGAATGTGTTACATAGATCAGCTAGGGCACTTTAAACAGAAAGGTATACAAAAGATAATTAGAAATAAATTGAAAATCGTATTTTGTGCTATTTCTAGCCTGAACACTTTTCAATTTTTGGTGAGAACAATTATTCTGGGAAATGAGAGTGAGCGGATGATCTGAAATATTGTAGAGTGGGTGGACTAACGCTCGGCATAAAAATACTATATTTGATATGGCAAATTCAAATCAACGTCAACAAACCTCAATGTTATATGTCCATTTTCAAGACCGATGATATTGTTTTAAATAGCCGTTGTGTAAAATTCGCTAATCACATAATGATGTGCATGGCTGGAGCTATAGATAGTCCGGATAAACAAGAGTGGTTTGCGTGAAATTGTACCATAGCTTGGCGTACAATACTACATGATGCAGGATTGTTTTTCGAATAAAATCTCTTTTTTATCTTATGAAGAAAACATATTGCATAACTTGTAACAACCAAATTAGGTTCATACATACAAGTACCCAACTTTTAGTTTAAATTTTACAGCCCCAGAACTCTAGTGTTAAAAGATTTTAATAATTTATATGTTGCGGATTACATACGGTTGTTCGTCTGCTATTAGCATTGTCACGTGACTTTACCAGCAGTGAACCACACCAGGATAAAATGGTGAAAGATGTAAATAAAAGCACCAGTGACCTAAATCGGAGATAACTTGAGACATTTTCAGATATTCTAAAAAAAAACATTTTTTACGCCGAGCATTGGTATGCGCCGAGCATTGGTCCAACCACTCTATGTAAGTTTTTGAGCTAGACCTACACCTAATGGAACATTAATCTCAGAAAAAATATTTCCAGTCCTGTTGTATCAAATAACCTTAGTGGAGTCCCTTTAACTGTGTTCTTTGATCTATTTATCGACTTTTAAAATTTATATTTTATAAGCTTTTAAGTAGAATTTTGAAATAAAATCAACTTATTTTATTCTTTATTTCACAGTGTGTGATAAATATATGATATGTAATCTCAATTAGATCAAATAGAGACAAAAAAATTGATCCCTAAAGTCTTTATAGCTAGATACAGTCAAGATTACCTCAACCAAAATTCCCATGTTATCATATCTTAAAAGTTTATATCATAACTCTACCCGATGTTGTCTTTTCAGATACTCAACATTTACCGACATTTTAACACCGGCGGAGGAAGAAGAAATTAACCGAGAGAGACTGATCAAGGAAAAGGCATTTAATTTGTTGATGATACGAGAGAGTGAGCTGGAGAAAATACGTAACGGAGACCTGATGTCGAAGAAGAAGCCGAAAGCCACTGCTAAGACAAAAAAAGTTGCATTTACTCAATATATGAAAATGTTCTATGATAAACCTAAACCAACAGTAAGTAATAGTAAATCTGAAGATAGAAGATATGCTCACAATGTAAGAAGTATTGATACATCAAGAGTATTCAACAGCCAATACATTTAATATTTAACTCATTGTTATTCATGTAGAGTCATTAAATGCATTTGACATGAATGGTATGGAAGTTTTTTATGTGTGAAGCTTTTTAAAAAAAAAAAAAATATTTTTCATCACAAAACTCATAATGAATTTTAAAGAAATATGTGTTTTTATATGAAGGATATGTTTATATTGTTAAAATTGTATGTTTAATGATGATATTTACATGACTGAATTACTTTTAACAGATACTAATAAGGAACAAAATTAAAAATATATGAAGCATATGAAGTTATTGCCAAGCTTTAATTATGATTTATAAATTATGACAATAATTCAGATTCCTAAAGATGATCCATATCCAGAAGACGCTGTCAAAGAAGCTGTGAAAGAGCCAGAGGAGCCACGTAAGGAGATGCTTTATAATTCTCACATTTGTGGAAAGTTTTTTGTTTTACCCTTATTGAAAACTTGTGTGTATTATCTTTTCTTATTTTCTCATCTTAATTTAAATTAATAATTTTTGTTTGCAATTTTACAATTTATACATTTAATATGTGATGTTATTATTATATGTATGTTTTATCTTATCTTATTTTCTTATCTTTAGTTAAATTAATGGTTTTTGTTTGCAATTTTACAATTAATTCATTTAATATATGATGTAACTATAATATGCATGCACATATTAATTAATTGAAGGTTTTTATTAAATCTAACATTTTGATGGTTTTGTTGCATGTAGTCCTTTGTTCTATCTTGATTGTGATATAAATATAAAATGTATGTAAGATATTTTTTATTGATTTTTTGAAAATAGCTAAGGATGAGTATTGTCCAGAAAAGGAGCCGACAGGGTTTTTTCCACCAGCATCGGAAGCCACACGACCTAAACCTCCTGATAACTCGCCTCTCAAGGCAGCGTACCATATAGCTCCCAACGGCTTTGTTCCTAACTCTATACTTATTAAACTGCTGTGGCCTCAGGCAGCCAAGGAAAAAATGGCCAAGAGGAAGACAGAAGAATGGAAACTTCCGTCATTTTCTGATGCCCAGCTAAAGGCCATCGCTAAAGCTAAACAGGTGTGTACTCGTTCATGTTGTTGGTATTGTTGTTTTATCTGTGTTTATGTTTTACAGAGTCCATCATTGGTATTTTATGGTTCAGGCACATGCATATTTTGCAATATCAGAGAAAGCATATTTTGTACCATGGACAAATTTGAAGAATGAATACTAAAATTTTTTTAATTAATATTAAAGAAAAAAACAACACTTGCATACATATATGTATGTGACTGTTGTATATATATCTTTGTTATATGATGTAGTTCTGTCTATGTCTGAAAATTAAATGTGTCTTCTTTCCTAAAAAAAAATAAGATGTAAATTCTGAAGAGATTTGGGAAAAGTATTAACATATTACATTTTCTGTTCTTAAGTTGAGTATGAATTTTTTTTTGAATTTGGCCATGGTTTAAGGTTGTGTGAAAACAACTGCATGAGATTTTGTATGCAGATTTTGTTTTTATTTATTGTTCCATGTTTACTTGTTTAAACAGAACATCCTTGTTACTGCATTTTTATTTGTTGTGTATATGTTGTGTTACAATATGAAGCATTCACTAATGTCTACTGTTAGACAGAACTTTACATATTGGTACATCTTATGTTGATCACTTGTGATGGTTGTTTTGGTGGAGAGGAAGTGAAATGCTGGTGTCTACAAGATAAATACAATTAATTATAACATTGCTTTTTTTTTACCACCTTCTTAAAAGACAATTAAAAGCCCCGGGGGTTCAGACCCCATAAAGGGCAAGTTGTTGTTACCATGAGCAAGAAACTTTACACTTATTGCTTAGTACTGGTTGGTCCCAGGAATAGATTTGAGAGACTGTTTCTATAAGCCTATAGCTTCGAACACAGTGGAACTAAAATAAATTAGTACAAACTAAAAGTCATTTAGAATCCAAATTTCTGAAAATTTATTACTTAGCAAAAATGTTTCATACTAAACTAGTTATGTTTGAAATTTAATGTAAAAGTAAGTTCCAGGTTTGCTTTTTTTGTTAAAACATGCTGTCTAAATTAAATTATAACCATGTATGAAATACCCTGAAACAGGAAAGAGAAGAGCTTGAGGCCCAGGAACAAGCTAAACTGGAAAAATGGCCGTCTTTAGATAGCTGGAGGGTAGGGTCTGGGTCCACGGGCAGTAAGCCCAGATCTGCCCTTACAGTTTCATCTAGACCGTCATTAGGACAGAAATCTGTCACATTTTTATCTGTACGAAGTGCCGTGAGTAACGTACGTTTCCTTGTAGGATTCCAAATTTTAGTGACATGTTTTTGGGAAATATACCCTTTTTTTAGCTCACCTGACCACGAAGTGGTCAAGGTGAGGTATAGTGATGGGGCTATGTCAGGCGTCCGTCGTCATGCATCGTCAACAATTGGGTTGTTAACAGTCTAGCAGTCACAGTTTTAATTGGATCATCATCAAACTTTGTCAGAATGTTTGTCTCATTGAAATACAGATCAAGTTCGAAGATGGGTTATCTCGGGTCAAAAACTAGGTCACAGGAGCTTAAAATAGAAAAAGCTTGTTAACACTCTAGAGGCTGCAGTTTTCATCCAAATATTCTGGAAATTTGTCAGGAAGGTTGTTTTAATGATATCTAGGTCAAGTTCGAAGATGGGTCATCTCCGGTCAAAAACTAGGTCACAGGAGCTAAAAATAGAAAAAGCTTGTTAACACTCTAACAATTGGGTTGTTAACAGTCTAGCAGTCACAGTTTTGATTGGATCATCATCAAACTTTGTCAGAATGTTTGTCTCAATGAAATACAGATGGAGTTCGAAGATGGGTTATCTCCAGTCAAAAACTAGGTCACAGGAGCTAAAAATAGAAAAAGCTTGTTAACACTCTAGAGGCTGCAGTTTTCATCCAAATATTCTGGAAATTTGTCAGGAAGGTTGTTTTAATGATATCTACGTCAAGTTCGAAGATGGGTCATCTCCGGTCAAAAACTAGGTCACAGGAGCTAAAAATAGAAAAAGCTTGTTAACACTCTAACAATTGGGTTGTTAACAGTCTAGCAGTCACAGTTTTGATTGGATCATCATCAAACTTTGTCAGAATGTTTGTCTCAATGAAATACAGATGGAGTTCGAAGATGGGTTATCTCCAGTCAAAAACTAGGTCACAGGAGCTAAAAATAGAAAAAGCTTGTTAACACTCTAGAGGCTGCAGTTTTCATCCAAATATTCTGGAAATTTGTCAGGAAGGTTGTTTTAATGATATCTAGGTCAAGTTCGAAGATGGGTCATCTCCGGTCAAAAACTAGGTCACAGAAGCTAAAAATAGAAAAAGTTTGTTAACACTCTAGTGGCTGCAGTTTTCATCCAAATATTCTGGAAATTTGTCAGGAAGGTTGTTTTGATGATATCTAGGTCAAGTTCGAAGATGGGTCATCTCCGGTCAAAAACTAGGTCACAGGAGCTAAAAATAGAAAAAGCTTGTTAACACTCTAGTGGCTGCAGTTTTGATCCAAATATTCTGGAAATTTGTCAGGAAAGTTGTTTTGATGATTTCTAGGTCAAGTTCGAAGATGGGTCATCTCCGGTAAAAAACTAGGTCACAGGAGCTAAAAAAAGAAAAAGCTTGTTAACACTCTATAGGCTGCAGTTTTCATCCAAATATTCTGGAAATTTGTCAGGAAGGTTGTTTAGATGATATCTAGGTCAAGTTCGAAGATGAATCATGTCCGGTCAAAAACTAGGTCACAGGAGCTAAAAATAGAAAAAGCTTGTTAACACTCTAGTGGCTGCAGTTTTCATCCAAATATTCTGGAAATTTGTCAGGAAGGTTGTTTTGATGATATCTAGGTCAAGTTCGAAGATGGGTCATCTCCAGTCAAAAACTAGGTCACAGGAGCTAAAAATAGAAAAAGCTTGTTAACATTCTAGGGGCTGCAGTTTTCATCCAAATATTCTGGAATTTTGTCAGGAAGGTTGCTTAGATGATATCTACGTCAAGTTCGAAGATGGGTCATCTCCAGTCAAAAACTAGGTCACAGGAGCTAAAAATAGAAAAAGCTTGTTAACACTCTAATGGTTGCAGTTTTCATCCAAACATTCTGTAAATTTGTCAGAAAGGTTGTTTTGATGATTTCTAGGTCAAGTTCGAAGATGGGTCATCTTAGGTCAAAAACTAGGTCACAGGAGCTAAAAATAGAAAAAGCTTGTTAACACTGTAATGGCTGCAGTTTTCATCTAAATATTCTTGAAATTTGTCAAGAAGGTTGTTTTGATGATATCTAAGTCAAGTTGGAAGATGGGTCATCTCTGGTGAAAAACTAGGTCACAGGAGCTAAAAATAGAAAAGCTTGTTAACACATTAGGGGCTGCAGTTTTGATCCAAATATTCTGGAAATTTGTCAGGAAAGTTGTTTTGATGATTTCTAGGTCAAGTTCGAAGATGGGTTATCTCTGGTCAAAAACTAGGTCACAGGAGCTAAAAATAGAAAAAGCTTGTGAACACTCTAGTGGCTGCAGTATTGATTTAAATATTCTGGAAATTTGTCAGGAAGGTTGTTTTGATGATTTCTGGGTCAAGTTCGAAGATGGGTCATCTCAGGTCAAAAACCAGGTCACAGGAGCTAAAAATAGGAAAAGCTTGTTTACACTCTAGTGGCTGCAATTTTGATTCAAATATTCTGGAAATTTGTCAAGAATGTTGTTTTGATGTTTTCTGGGTCAAATGCTAAGATTGGTCATGTTCGGTCAAAAACTAGGTCACAGGAGCTAAAAATAGAAAAATCTTTTTAACGCTCTAGTGGCTGCAGTTTTGATCCAAATTTCCTGGAAATTGGTCAGGAAGGTTGTTTTGATGATTTCTAGGTCAAGTTTGAATATGGGTTGTGTCCGGTCAAAAATTATGTCACATTGCCCAAATATGGAAAAATCTTTATAACACACTAGAGGTCACATGTTTGACTCAGTTGTCATCAAACTTGGTCATGATGCTTGTTTAAGACATTGCTTGGATGCGGTTGTGTCAGGTGAGCGATCCAGGGCCATCATGGCCCTCTTGTTTGTATATTATGAACTATGGTTTTTGGTAATGAATAGCTTGAAACCTTTGCCGGTTATGGATAGTTAAATTGATGGTCCTCATTTAAATTTGAAAATTTAGCACATTGTATAGATATTTTACTAACATTCAACATGGTTGGTTATATTATCATTATATTGTTCTTGGTGTTTTTTCCAGTTTATTGTAGCCCATATCTTAGTTTCCATGTGCAAAAAATTCCCTTTATTTTTTATTTGAATCACACTCTATTTGTGGATTTTGCTTTTACAGTTCTGTATCTGTTTCCAAAAATCTTTCAAAACTGTATCTGTTGTAAGATGAATACTTACAAAAACCAGTTTGAGTTAAAAGTTGGCTTAATACAGCTAATTCCCTTTTGTTTTTAATGATTCTGTTATTTTTTTTGGAACACATATATATATTTAAACACATCTTTATATAAGTATTACTAAAAACAGTGTCAAATATTTACCTTTTTTATGCTCGAATTCTTGAACAATTAGATCCCCAGTTCTGAGAGTATTTTGATCAAAACCTCAAACTCATTTTAATTGGGTCAGTCCATTAAACTTGGTTGAATTGAGTCAGTCCATCAGACTTGATTGAATTGGGTCTGTCCATCCAGAATTGGGTCAGTCCATCAGACTTGGTTTCATTTGATCAGTCTGTCAGACTCAGTTTGAATGAGTCAGTCCACTAGACTCAAGTTGATTATCTTAATGCATGAGTGTATACCAGGTACAAGTTTACATGCTTGAACCAAATTTAAAGGGAAATGATCATGTTTCATGAAAGGTAATAGATATTATGTATACCACTGTAACTCTACTTGTATCACTCTGCAGATATTTAAGTCATTCAAACTATATTTATACCATTGTACTCAAGGACCGGGAGAGAGCTGAGAACATGGCCAAATTAATGGCTCAAAAGTCTAAAGCTCAGCTGGTTGAAAAATCAGTAAAGTTCAAACCAGAAAAGACAAAATCAGTTTCTGGAGTATCAGAAGCTGATGTGGATGAGACAGGTGTTAGAATAGAGAAGGAGGTTACTGTTGTGGTATGTAGGAGATATGACCAAATGTATAATAATTTACCTTCTACTGTAATCTTGTACACTCTTTTAACAGGATTTGTTATATACAGTTACAGCTTATATGCACATGTTTTATATCTTTGTTACTTTCTGTATGATATTAAGATAATTCTGTCTTGACCAGGTTCTCCTGCAGTTTCACATGTTATTTAAAATGTAAAATGAAGATCACTCAAATTAAAAAAAAATATATATATTGTCGCCTTAGTGCAATAACTGGTTAACTCCTATTAAGTTAAGAAGGACTTAACCCATTAGTGCTTTAAGGTGACTTTATAAGCTTGACAAGTCTAAGCTTTGGACATTATTACAATTTTAATCATATTATAAATTATATCAATACTATTGGAAGAACCTGTCTTACCAAATTATCTTTTATCATCATCTTTCTTCATTCTAGTTTTAATACTTCAATATGCTAATTAGTTCTGAATACTACTGCACATTTAATTATGTTACTCCTGTTCTGATACATTACAAATGATCAAAAATTAAATTATGACTATCACTAGATCTGAATACATTTTTTAATTAAATCATATGTAAAAACATATTTACTTCACAGTTTTCCCCTGGCAAATAAAGTTTTTAATGGATATTTAAATTAGTGTTGTTTTCAGCACCAGAATTGTTGGAAAAAAACTTACCATTATTTTATAATTATACAGCAGAACCAGAAAAATTATCCTTATACCTTGTTGCTTAACAACTGAAACAAATCACCAATTTCATTATTTCAGTCACTTCTAAAATAATCACTAGTTCTTTTCTAACTGCTGACAGTCTAATTCCCCTTTCACAACCTTTTCTTTTTTTCAATTTAAAATTAACACTCATATATATTTTAAATGAAAATTAATATAAAGTTTGGAATTAAGATTTGATTTCAGCTCTTGCAGCTTGCTATTTTAAGTAAAATTACAGTTTTTGAATTTGTTAGATATATAAAAATATCTTACCTTTAAAACACATAAAAATACATTATTAATTTTACAGGTGTAGAATACATTATAACATTTACAATGCTAGTTGTCTATAAGTGCACTATTATCTTGATATCATTGATATGCATGTAATTTAGTGAGCAAACATGAAAATACTGGTTTGATTTGCAAAAGTTTGTAAGGTCGAATTCTCCACCAGTAAAGCTGGAACGTAGCTATATGACTTATACTGTGTTGGTGTAACATAAAATCCAATCAATCAATCAAACAAACAAACAAAAGTTTGTTGCTTGTTGGTTTTTTTTGCAAAGATTTAAGGAAACAATTCTTAAGATATTTAGAGGTTTTTTAAAATGATGAATTTTATTTAATCTGCTAAATTTGTATAAAATGATTCTTGCTCTTCATTGAATTTCAAATAGTATTTTTTTTAATGAATTTAATAATCGAAATTCTAAAAAACTGACATTACAGTAGTATGGTCTGCTTGTACACATATTAATTAATTGCAGCAGAAAAGTGCTATAGTTCTATATACAGACAAAAGACAAAGGTCAAAATGCTCTAACTGCAGTAATGACTTTAAAAATCCATCAAAATGAATACATGTATTTGAAAAAAAGGAAGAAAAAAAAGAAACCAAAACATCTTGTCAATCGTTATTGAGTTCAATTCCACAATGTTTACAGTACTATACCTGTCCTGTGAATTGAAACCTGGCAATGCATACAAACCAGTTTTTTCATAGCAAGATAAGAACTTATTCAAATCAGCTTGCACCCAGATTGACACATTGTCTTTTTAAAAATGTCATATTTTGAAATTTGTTGCAAAAATCGGTCACAGAATTGTTGTAAAATTGCTCTTACACTTAATGATAATAAACTTATTAAAATTAAGAAGACTTATGATCATAATTTTAAACGGTATACATAACTGTTGAATCTGAGTGCAAGTGGAGTTGATAAGTTACACAAGAAAATATAGTAATATATATAACACTGGTATAAACAGATATTCTCACTTTATACACTGATATAATGCACAGAAAGGTGAGGGTGAGGAGGAGCTACTGGAGGAGGAGGAGGAGTTTGAGGACAGGGTAATGGAGATGGACTGGGGAGATGATGATGAAGATAATATATATAAAGAGAAGAGTAAGCTCTCTGACAAAGAAAGTACAAAAACGTCCCTTAAAAACAAGTTTGCTGATATAATGGCAAAACCGCCAACACCACAGGTATATAGGCCATTCATACAATTTGTAAAATGTATTTTTTTTCCTTTGGTTTTAATCTTAAATTTTTAAAATGATTTTTAACCATGTCTGTCAATTATTCAAAAATAGGTCAAAAAGCCTAAAAAACATATGATTTGAAATTCTTACATATAGATCATATGAAGCACTTCAAATGGAAAATCTTCAAAGACTGATAAAAAAATTTGCTCAGAACTTCATTCAAAATAGATCCTTTATGTGATTCTTAGCCGGTTTTGAGTGAAAAGTTTGCAACGCTTTTCAGTTTTGAGTCATATTGGACAGTGAATTAAAAAAAAATGATTCTGGTAAAAATGGGGTAAGGGAATGATGTGAAACATTGCACTAAAGTTTTTGGTCTGGACCTACATTAAATGATACACAAATTTCTGAAAAGATATTTCCAGTTCTCATGTCAAAAACCTCTGTGGAGCCCTTTATAAATTTATTTTGTAATTATAAATACATCTTGGGGCAAAAATAATTTCAGTGAACTATTAAGATGAATCTATCATGACTATAATGAAGTTTGTTTTAAGATAATGCAGAAATTATTAATACATGTTATGATGGAAGTCATTGATGTCAAGTTTTACAGGAAGCATAAAGTTGATCGTGCACCTGAAACCTCTTGTTACTATTCTATCTTCTCTCTAGTATACTTGACTGCCAGTAGTGCATGTAGTATATGCTTGCATGGTGCAAGCATACATATATATGTGATATTATATATATAATCTATATGATACATGTATATGTAGGTACAATATTATATACTCACATGCACAGAGTCGGTAAATAAAACACCATGCAAAGCACATTTTACACTTAATAGGTGATAGACTTTATTATAAGACTTATTTCATAATATTGTAATTATTTTGTTTCTAAGGTTTGATAAGTAAAGAAAAATAGGCAATAAATATTTGCTTATATGCATTTGTTTGATTCGACATTGACTTTCAATATTACATATTAAGTATATGATTTTACCAACCAGTTGTAGTATGAAGCTTCAGTATTAAGTCTTAGCTGCAGTTGTTTATAAGAATTATTTCTGATGCTATCATTTTGTTATTACGATAAGGATGTATTCAAGGACATGAATTTATAGACATTGAATGTTTAATATTTTTGAAACATTTAAAAAACTGTGGTTTCAGTACCAATACTTACAATTTTACGTTCTGCTTTTTAATTTTCTTTCAATTGTTAATACAGGCTTTAACTTGGCTTGTGAAAAAACAAATAGTTAAAATTCATTTAATTTGCAAAATGTCTTTACAGTTGAGTAGTTGTAGTTGAATAGAAAAAAAAGTTATTTGACTGTATATACTTTATAAAATATACAGGAAGAAGAGGAACCTCTAACTAAAGAAGAAACAATGATTTCCAAGGAGAAAACTATGGAATCATCAAAACAAACCTCGGACCTCAGTACAAAATCTACTCCGAGGGAGATCAAACCAACAAAACCCATCAAAAAGCTAGTATCACGACCACCACCACCTCCGCCACAACCCAAACCAAAATCGCCCTTACCGGCTGTCAAGAAAGCGCCATCGGAACAACGGGAAATAACTCGGGTAAAGACGCCTACTCCGACACCAACCACCCCTACACTTCCACGTGCAAGGACACCTTTACCTGGATTTATCACACAATTCAAAGGGGTTGAATGGTTTGAGAAGTACTTTCCAAATTGTGAAACAGTAAGTGCTTTTTCTATCCCAGCTTTTGCGTTATAACTTTTAAAAAGTACACATATTGAAGTTCTTGATTACCTGTTTTAAAAGTTTTTCTACCAGTCAGCATGTATGTTTTATGAATAAATTTATATGCTTGTCTCGACATGTAACAAAACTATTTGCTAACTGTATGAAAGTTTATTTCTTATGTTAAATCATTGTTTTATAAAAGAAAACATAATGCGCTTGATGATTATTTCAATTCCTATATACATGTAGTATATTGCAAGCTATCCATATGTTTCTCAGTTGTATTCTATTTTCATTTTTTCAGACAATGCCAAAACCATGGTCTCTGGAGAACTTTGTTGCTGCTTTAGTCAAACTGATAAAAACTGTGGACTATTCATACAAAATTGCCATTGTAGAAGCGTTATTAATGCTGCATGCTCAAGACGAGTTTGCAGACAATCTTTCCCATACAGTGATTAAAGCAATGTCTAGTGTGTTGAACCATCAGAAAGACTACCCAACATGTATGATAGAAGATCAGAGGAATTTTATCATAGTTTGTATCAAGGGCATGCAGAAATTGTTGACGTCACCTGATAAGGAATTTGTCACAGAATTATTGGTGCAATTTCTGGATGGAGACAAAGAAGTTAGGTGTGTAGGAATTCTGATACAAACTTACATGTTATATTAATTGATTACCAAGCAGTTCGAACTGTGTAACATCAGATGATTTTTGGTTTATACAGAATTTATTTTAGTTTGGTTGTGTAGGAAGCTTAAAGCTTATAGTCACACTCTCAAATTCGATCCTGGAACCAACCAATACTTAGCAATGAGTGTATATTTTAAGTTTCTTGCTCAAGGAAACAACAGCTCGCCCCTGACAGGGTTTGAACCTACATGGATAGTGGTCCTTAGATTACTAGTCTCATGTGTTAACCACTCAGCCATGCCGCCACATTAAATGTGTTTTTTAGTCTTAATTCCATGGATTTGTCAGGTCTTATACAAAAAGAAATCAGTGTTCTGATGTACATTAAAATTGCGGCAGGTCCAGAATATCTGTAAATAGGTTGTTAAAGTAGTAACAGGCTTTCAGATGTCACATTGATACAATGATGGTGAAATATCACTATAATAGCTTTACCAGTGGCAGAAGACCACTGATGCCCATGTTTATGAATTATTACAGGTACAAATGATATATTTAGGTTTGACTTACAAGATCATTGTTACATTACAGGGCAGTTGTCATAACTATCCTGACCTCTATTGGAATGCAGGATCAGCATAAATTCTTGCCGAAGGAGTTGGATTCCTGGGATATCTGGAACGTGGAGGAAGATGATCGTAAATCTGACCTCAGGAAGATGTGTCATCAGTGGCTAGATAGGTAAATGTTTTTTGTCACCAGTTGTTTATATGGAATACTGGAATTGTTAGAGAGAGAAAAAACTGTCTTGTGACAAGTGGCAAGAAAAGTAAATATTGGTTTATTAATGACATCATTAATGATACAGTTTTCAAATCTAAATATTTATGTCACTAGTGGTAAGATATATCTTAATTCTTGTGTCTCTGTTGGTGAAGTTTTGATATAAACATAGTCCTTTTCAGTTGCTACTGGTTCTATTTTTATATAAACATAGTCCTTTTCAGTAACTGTTGCAGATGCTACTGGTAAAACATTATGCTTAACGTTGGTAAAATTATGTTCTGTATCATTATACAGATGGATGACAACGTACAAATTGCATTTAGAAGATACGATTGACCGCATGAAGAAAGGGCAAAATATACATGGTCGTATGTCAAGAGATCAGTTCAAGAAAACACCATCAAATAAAAGCATACTGAGAAGATCAGTGGTATGTTATATTATGATAATGTTTCGAATTATTTTACGGGCAGTCCTGTTGCTCATCCTTAACTAATGTTGTTCAGTATACTTTGTAATCTGTACTGTGAGTCAGTATCTTTGAAAAGTGTAAGCAAATTTGAAGAGAAGGCATGGAGATAATTTTTGTTCCCTGTTACTTGTTGTCATAGATTTTTTATATTGACAGGATGTCCTTTGCCGAGTGTTTAGGTCATAAACTTCAAATCCCTTGCCTTTTACAGCTGTAGGTTTGAGCCCTGCCAGTGTCTTCAGATTCTTTCATATGAGAAAGCTATCCAGCTTGCTAATAGAACATAGGTGGTTCTACTCACATGCCCGTTTGCCACAGAGGGTGACCAGAAAAGCTGGAAAGTCGCCATATGACCTATATTTAGTTGGTGTGAGGTGATCTGTGTAATGATAATTCTAAATCTGATTCAAACAAAGTATAGAACTCTGTACTTTATTCAGTTGTTTTTGTTGGAAGAAAGAACAAGTTTTGATATGAATTTTCTGCTCTTCATTGTGTCTTTCTCTGTTTTTAGTGTGTGTTCTGTTATGTATATCGTCACCTTAGTGCAATAACTGATTAAATGCTATTAAATTTAGAGGGACTTATTCCGTTTTTGCACTATGAATTGTTTTCCTCAAGTGTATTTTGTTATTTTTTTATCTTTTGATGTGTTTTGTTTTTTCATTATTACTAGGGATCAGTAAGTATAGAAAGCTTTGCTACAAATGCGTGTAATATAGTTTGCTGATATATCTATTTTTAGACACAGAGTGCAAAATTATCTCTATTCATTTGCAATCCTTATTGATCATCAGAGAGAATGGGGTGGGGTATAATTTTTGAGCTAAACCTTTTTATATGACTTATTTAAGTACATTTATTATACATGTATATATGGACATTTATTTATTGTCAAATTAAAACAATTCAAATAAGCTGATGACCAATGAAAACACTTCCCTAGAATATTTTGTTTTATATCATCCGAGTCTTTATTCACATTTGATAAAAATTGTTCACTATCAGTGTTTTCTTTTTTTGATTTTTGTTTCATCTATACAACCTCATTTAAGTTATTATCATAATCCAATTATATCAAATTTCATATCTGAAAACCACCGCCAAATAAAGTTAAATTCTCTGATTTGACAAGGATATTTTATATTTAAAAGACACTCTGTAAAATGTCATTTTCTGCTTTCATCATGTAGAGATATGTAAAACATAAGCTTTACATCACAATGCATGTTTTAAACTTCAAATGCCTTTACTGTATGCTTTTAAGCTAAATGGTGTATTTTTACCAAGCAGTTTTGCTATGTAACTTTGTATAAATTTAACTACTGGTTGATGATATACATTTTACATTGCTATCAAATGCTTCAGCTATTGTATTTAAAAACAGTTTTAGAGATCATGCTTTGATATTATCCAGCTCAATATCAGTATTTTAACCACACTGTATGTTGTTATATTTCATTGTATTCATTAAAAGAATGTGTGTTGGTAATGAAAAAATATAGAGTATATATGTACCTCACTGGGTATTTGTTTCAGAATTTATTATCCTTCAAATGAGAGGTCAAATTAAACTATGATATCCTTGCCATGAGAGGAAAAGTCAAAGTATAATATGCTTATCATGAGAGGCCGAGTCAAAGTATAATATATCCTTGCTATGAGAGGCCAAGTCAAAGTTTAATATCTTATCTATGAGAGGCCAAGTCAAAGTATAATATATCCTTGCCATGAGAGGAAAAGTCAAAGTATAATATGCTTATCATGAGAGGCCGAGTCAAAGTATAATATATCCTTGCTATGAGAGGCCAAGTCAAAGTTTTATATCCTATCTATGAGAGGCCAAGTCAAAGTATAATATATCCTTGCTATGAGAGGCCAAGTCAAAGTATAATATGCTTATCATGAGAGGCCAAGTCAAAGTATAATATATCCTTGCTATGAGAGGCCAAGTCAAAGTATAATATATCCTTGCTATGAGAGGCCAAGTCAAAGTTTAATATCTTATCTATGAGAGGCCAAGTCAAAGTATAATATATCCTTGCCATGAGAGGAAAAGTCAAAGTATAATATGCTTATCATAGAGGCCAAGTCAAAGTATAATATATCCTATCTATGAGAGGCCAAGTCAAAGTATAATATATCCTTGCTATGAGAGGCCAAGTCAAGGTTTAATATCCTATCTATGAGAGGCCAAGTCAAGGTTTAATATCCTATCTATGAGAGGCCAAGTCAAAGTATAATATATCTTTGCTATGAGAGGCCAAGTCAAAGTTTAATATCCTATCTATGGGAGGCCAAGTCAAAGTGTAATATCCTTCCCATGAGAGGCCAAGTCAAAGTATGATATACTTGCCATGACAAGCCGAGTCAAAGTATAACATCCTTCCCATGAGAGGCTAAGTCAAATGAGAGGCCAAGTCAAAGTAGAATCCTTAATTACCATGAGAAGCCTAGTCAAAGAAGGGTATCCCAGTCATATCAGGCCAAGTCAAAGGATGATATCCTTGCCATGAGAGGCCAAGTCATAGCATAACATCCTTGCCATTAGAGGTCAAGTCAGAGTGTAATATCCTTCCAATGAGAGGCCAAGTCAAAGTATGATATCCTTGCCATGAGAGGCCAAGTCATAGCATAATATCCTTGCCATGAGAGGTCAAATCAAAGTATAATGAGAGGCCAAGTCAAAGGATGATATCCTTGCTATAAGAGGCAAAGAATAATATCACAGCCATGATGAGGAAGAAAGTGAATATTTAATATGGCCATGAGAGGTCAAGGCAATGTATGATATTGTGGCTGTGAGAAGGCTGGTGAAAATATATTATCCTTGCTCAGAGAGGGAAAGTCAATATATAATATCCTATCTCAATTAATTAAGGGAAGCCAGTGTATCATATCCTAGACGTGAATGGGCATGCTATTGTTAAATGTCTCTATCTCTTTTCATAAGAAAATACTAGTGAAAAAATATAATTATATCCTATTCATTGGAGAGGGAAGGGTTAAAAATATAATTTCTTTGCTGAGTTGTTTACTTGTTTCCATGTTTACTTCATAATAAATGCAATTTTTACCCCAGAAAGAATGATATAAATTTGTATATAAGTGATCGTTATTTGATTTCAAATCAAGCTGATTGAAATCAAGAATTGAAATTTATTAAAAGGTTTTCTATCAAGTTTTTGGGTCCTCAATGCTTCTGCATCATGATCATATTTAGACATTAGAATTATATCCAGTCAATACAAAGCATCTTTGAGAAAATTTGAAGATCAATATTTTTTGTTAAATTTGCAATAATGTGAAAGAGTTTAAAAGTCATTTGGTCAGCTCTTTACTACTAGCTATAAACTATAGAGATGTTACATGATCTGTTTGTATTTTACTGTATTGGTAATCAAGTTGCTGTTAGTGGTCTTCCGTACTTTTGCTATGATTTGCTATGATTGGCTAAAACCTGTAAATATATTTTGTAGGGTGTTGGAACAGATACAGGCATTACAGAAGATCAGGAAACTGTAACAACACTAGATGATGCTAAACGAGGGGTGACCGTCACGTTTGACAAGCCACCAGACCCCGCATTGTTAGACAATGCTAACTACATTGATGCCATCAACTATTTCTGTGACATGATGTTTGAGAAGGAGATGGAAACAATGAGAGCTCCCGGCAAACGTTTGCCAGGCTCTAAAGAGAATGTTGTACAAGCCAAAAACACCGTCCTTGTTTTACCCAAGATTCCTCAGTAAGTGTGAAATGAGCTAGTCTTTTTGTCTTTACTATCTTTTATTTGAGTAAGCGGGGTAAGCTGTCAGAATCTTATGTACTTTTATAGGTAAATTTTTACATGTAAACTAACATAAAGAGGACATTGAATCAGTGTATGTTAAATACCAAATTTTTTTAACAAGTTGACTAAAGTTATATTATGTAACCCTCTGGCTAGCATAATATTATTTAGTGAGTTAAATAAATTTGGTAATAAACTTACACCACTTCCATAAATTTCATAAAATCACATACCCAATCAAAAAAAGAAGAGTTTACAGTGAAATATATATATATAAAAGTCTTCATTGACAAACCAACAGTGAAACACTAACATTTTGCATGGTTTTATACTATGGTTGTATAAGGCAAATGATATCAAGTTTCGAAGTTATTTAATAAAAAATGTTTTTTTTTATATAATGGCTTTATTACACCACTGCACCATGGTTTATGTATAAAATATATTAAAATTTGTTGTCAAAATGTGTACATGTTGTGTACTATTGTTTCAGGAAACCAAGCTTGGTGCGACTTGGTGAAACTCATACAAGTCATTGTAGACCTCACAGAGAAACAAATCTTCATGTTGGTATGTACATTATGTTACGACGGCAATATTATTATGTTATTCTTGAACAAAAATATTTTCAAACTATAAAACCAAAAGGTTTTAAGGGGGAACAACATATCAAAACACCTGGTTACTTATATTTATTTAAACTACCAGTTTCAGGTAAGATATAGAGGATATTTGTTTAGTTCAGTGTAAGATCGGAATAATATTTCACCGAGTGAGCACCAAAAGGTATATTTCACGAGTGGCGCAGCCACGAGTGAAATATGAACTTTTGGTGTTCACAAGGTGAAATATATTTTGATCTTACACTAAACTAAACAAATTTTCTTTTTATTATATGCAAAGAAACGTTTTAAAAAGACATTAAACCTAATACTGAATGTAAAGCGCGCCAAATATAATACAACATGACGTCATTTACAACGTCATGTCATTAAGTTGGTACCCAGTACTGTGCACGCTGGTATTTCACTGAAACAACGTAAGGGGCTTTAATTCAAAACAGTGAAATTATCAAAGTGGTAATTTCACTGTTTCAAACAGTGAAATTACCAGTTTTATGTCACTGATATATTTCTATAAACCACCAAAAAGGATGTAGTAATAAATACCTTTTATCAGGTTTTGGTTTTTAAAATAAATTTTAGGAGAATCATAAATGGGATTTTAAAACTTGTAAAGAATGGGTAAAGTCTGCAACTACAGCTAAAATGTTATGAAAAGTATCATCAAGCCACATCAAGGAATTCTTTGATATGGGATGTCTTGTGTTCATGATAAGTGCATAGAGTAATTCTATTATAATTTAAAGATATTTTTACCAGTGAAATTAATTATTTAGTTTTTTTTCATAGTAAATTATTCATTACACCAATGCTATCTTTTATTAAATTATCAATAAACACACAAGCTGTATACTAAAAAGGAAAAAAAAACATTTTGAAGCCTATAAATGCTGTTATTTCATTTGAACAAGATATGTTTAAAACAAGTTTATTTTGTATAATTATAAATTGATGTTTTTATTTTATTACAGATTATCGTCTGCCACCACAAACAGCACGAGGATATCATCCATTCCCTGGTCAAATCACTGGCTTTGTAAACAGTATTAATCTCCCGATGAAACCGTTGATGTTGAACCCCTTCCCCTGTGCTTTAGATGAACTGGACGCAAGATTCCAAGAACCTATTCTGATAACATTAAAATCAGCACAGAAATATTTCATACCTTCACAGTCTATTGTACCGCAGGAGGCAGTGCCTGCTGCACTTTGATCTGACTGGACAGGGGGGAAAAATGACATCAGTGTCTATATATACAGATCTGTGATTTGACTTGATTGTGTGGATACAGTCCTATAGTTAAAATAAAACTATCATAAAATGTGAATTTAGATGCAAAATATATCATTGACTGAAATCATGGCTTTGATTAAAGACATGCTGAAATGCATCTCTCTTAATATAAGATTTCAAATATGAAATATGGATATTTTAAACATGGCATTTTGTTTTTAATTCATGACTTATTTTATATATTTGTTATAATCATGTTGTGTTTGATAGGATTTTATATTGTTATAACAATACATGTATATATAACAATACATGTATATGTTTATTATTAACTTAGTTTATTCTGTGCAATGAAGATTTAATTGGCAGTCACAAGTTTAATTGGCAGTCACAAAGGGATAACATTTAAGTGAAGATTTTATTCTTAATCTCGATATGATTTGTGTCAATTTTTGAATACTGGGACCAGTACATTTTCTATTTTTGCAAAACACCTCTGCTGTGTCTCTTAGAAATTCCTTACTGTATCAAAGTCATGGGACTTCATACAAAATGTATTACTAACTTGAGACTGTTTCAATAAACATTTTTATCCTTTGTAACTTCCTGAGAAAAGTTAAGAAATAAGCTTTATTCGGCAATGTGTTAAAGTTTATCTACATAATGTTATTCAGAATTTAAGGAGTCATAACATAGTATAAATTAGGACATTTGAAGCGCAAAGTTTTCACAGGTTTTGGTCAAAAGACTTATTTCTTACTTTGACTCTCTATGTAATACAACCCTGGCTTATATTTAAAGAATGATATTTCATTATTTTCATTACTGATGAATTTCTTTTTCAACCTTTATAGTTGTTGTTTTACTTTTTGCTCACCCTTTTTGTCGACTATTTTTAAATGTTAATGTATGTTGCAAATTATGTGTAAAAAATATTTGATAACATTTAAAAAGCCTGACATTTTTTAGACATATTCAAAAAACGTAAAGCAAACTGCTTATTTATAGGCATTAAGAAAACATATATATTTAACATTTTACTGGCCTTGAAAAGGAAATAATATAACTTACTTGTAAATAAACAATTTTTAAACCTGAAATATGTTCACAAGAACTATTATCAGAGAAAAAGAAGGTATTTGATGTAAAGACGTTAGTGTGTAATATTTTTTTTCACTGCATGTATTGTATGTACGGGATGACCATGATATACGTTCTATCTGTGATATTTTTTATTTGCTAACACTTTTTACCTTGAACTGTTCCAAAATAAGAATGTTTAAATGAATTGTTAATCAACAAAAAATAAAAATAATAAATTATCATCATTGAAATCAGTTTGTTTTTGCTTGAGAATTTAAATTTGTATTTTGAATAGAAACTATTCAAGAGTTAAAGTGACATTATCATTTATGCCTATTGAAGGGTATATAGTACATTATGCTCATCCAAGGGTATATAGTGAGTGAATAGGTGAAAAAAAGTCAAAATATGTTTACATTTTTTAATACTTCCTTTCAATTTTGTAATTCACTTAGCCTAACAGGTAAATAACTATGTTGCCCAAGGAAATTTCTGTAAAAGTCCATCGGAATGGTTGTTTTTTTTTTGTGTGTAAAATCCGGAGACATAAAATGCTCTATATTAAACATTTAGCAAAGTCAAAAATTGACCTTCAGTACAATTTTGCATATGGTATTGGACATTAAATTAGAAATAACTTGAATATGGCTCAATGAATAGCTTGAGGATTATAAAAATTATGACCCTGCCTTACAATAGTTCTGAGGTGAGCAATCTAGGCCCGTGAAGGCTCTCTTGTTTATTGCACATTTTATATACATGATAAATAATCAGCTCTACGAGTATCATGATATTTCGTTAGCAATTTTATTGTTATAAATGAAAATATTGACCATCAGATACAAAATCTATCCAACTGCATGACTGCCATTTCTGAAATACAATAATAGCAGTTGAACTAATCTTTTGACTACAAATTGAAGAAAAAAAGATATCCTACTACATTTATTATCACATTTAGCACGTAGATAACAGTCAAATTTATGTTAACCCCTTGCACAGCTCACGCATCCCACCCGCTTAAGAAGTATATTGTTTTGTGGATAGCTATGCTTGGTGAGGACTTAACGAATGAAACGGTTGCATCTACACTGGTTCAATGTCTACCTGAGTTTCTACCTGAGTTAAGTATATTTTGAGCATGAAAGCACATTCAGTGACCAAACTTCAAAGGCAGCTTGCCTATGGTCACTAAACGTGTGGCGCATCTTTTATTAAGCTTAGCGGCTGGCTGTCATTGTGTGCATCTGTTTTTTTAGGTTATAAGTCACACGGACAAAATGTAAATTTGTGGCAATTTTCCGGCTACACCTCATATGCTCCTTCATGTATCATTTCAAGCACGGGCAGGTGACTGAGTAGAACTACCGATCTTATGAAATACCTACAGCAATAAGAGACCTTAATCCAAAGTGATTTGAAGTCATCAACCATGACCATTCATTAGCCCTTGAAAACCCATACCCGCTCTATGGGTATATGTGTTTCATAAACAGCCGCTGTTTATATATACACTGTACAACTCAAGATTTGCTAAGGATCACCATTTTGACATTGCATAATTCAGTCCTATTATCATCATATTAAAATCATATTTCCGTATCACCTGTACGGGGACCTCATAATCGTGTACTTAAGTTATCGGTTTGACATGTACACCTTTCACAATAAATACGTGGAAATGCATACCAATCGATATTGGGTGTTTTATGGGCATGTGCTTTCACTTAAACATGTACAAACAGCAAGATTTCTCAACAAACTATGGCAAATTAACAGGTTAAACGTCGTCTTAGTGAAGATGAGATGAACAGGGATATTGGAATGTTGGAGGCTTGCCGTTCACAAAGGCACGTTGCCCATGTCCGTGTGGTATCCCCAGAATGTGAAACCGATTCCAAATGACTGGAATGTCTTGCAGGGCCACGCCGGAGGTCGGGAACGTTCAACGACTCAAGCCCAGGACCGATTTATTGTCCTCTTTTGACAGGCGCAAACGGTTCTCGAAATGTAAGACCTTACGTAACGACTTCCAGAATGCAATTGGTGTGCGTATAAGAACACACTGTTCGAAACAGGTTGCATGATACTGGGTTGAGGTCACGGAGGCCAGCACTTCGCATTTCTTTGACACAACGCCATATTCAAGAGCGTTTGCAATGGGCGCAGACTCATGTCACATGGACAGTTAATTATTGGAGCCAGGTCCTCTTCACTGATGAATCAAGGTTTTGTGTGGACTTTACGGACAGACGGGCTAAGGTTTGGAGAAGTCCAAATGAACGCTTAGCTCCAGCATGCGTTGCAGACCACGACCGTTTTGGCGGGGGTTCAGTCATGGTGTGGGCGTGAATAAGCGCTTAGGGGATAACGGACCTACACATCATTGAAAACGGTACACTGACGGCAGTAAGGTACGTCAATGAAATCTTAGACGTCCATGTACGCACGTACGCTGGCACAATCAGCCCTGATTTCATTCTTTTGGATGACAACGCCCGTGCACTCAGAGCCCACATCACAAACCGATATATTGAGGAGGCAACTATAGTCCGCATGGATTGACCAGCGAGGTCCCCGGATTAAAATCCAATTGAGCATGCTTTGGATATGCTGCAGAAAGTCATTTCTTCACGCCACGTCCAATCAACAACAGTTCTGGAGCTAAGACATGCAATCATAGAGGAATTGTCACAGATTCCTCATTAAAAGATCCCAAGACTCATCAGCAGCATGCGGTGGCGATGCCAGGGCGTAGTTAATACCCGCGGACTTCATACTCGGTATTAAACACCCTAAGCCAACCATTTCCTGATTTGCAAGATTTTTTATTCCAGTATGTGATCTCCAAAATGTTGATTTTCGTCCAGCACACTCTTTCCGCAACAGGCACACGTCAAGGAACACTTCCATTGTCATTATTTTCATAAAAATCAATTCCTAACTAATTATATTTAATTCCTTTTAATCAATTTTCACATTTATTACAAAAACACAAAAGTAACGCACTGTAGAAAAAGTGATCCTTAGCAAATTTTAGTAGTATATAAATGATGCTTTGAACAGTTTTATTATGAATAATACAAGCAAGTCAATAACTTACATTAGTTCACAAACGTAAGAATGTGATTCAGAGCATCGCCTGTCCTGCCATTGGAAATGTTGTTTACCTACCACACCGATACAATCTTCGTCATGATCACCTGCCCCTGTATCTGGCTCACCTGACAAAACGAACGACCAAATGTTTACTAGTTGTCTGCCATTTAAAAGGTATGTACGTGCACACGTATTAATAATCCGGCAATGCATTTGAAATATCATATAATAATTATAAAACAAGACGACAGTTATTTACTAATTTGTGGTTTTATTACAATGAGAGGGTTAACCAGGCTCGGGCTGCGAATACTGTTTATGTAAGATAAACGGCATTTTGTTGTCCATCTTGCGATTTCTGGTTGTTTTGATTACCATCGAGAATAATAAACTTAAGGGGCTTTTTAAGTTCTGTTGCAAAGAGAAAAAAACAACACAAATACAAAATAAATGAACACTGTCACTCTGGAATAAAACCTCGACAGTGCTTTACCTGGTGCCCAGTTAGTGTACTCAAGAATAAGCTGGTTAATATCTGTCCATTTCCAGAATCCTTCAGTATCATTATCCGAACCTCCAATCCACACAGACGATGCACTGTCATGATGTATATCTAAAAGTTGATCATACATGTGTGAATATGTCTTAATCATTTCAAGCACTATCGACAAATATATCAGTTCTAACCTAACTATGGTCGCCGGTTGCGATCATTTCAAAACCTTAAGAAATTTTATCGTTTTATCATAAAATGTCACGGGCAACTTACAGCCCCGCCCGCGATATGTTTTGCCGAATTCGTACAAAATGTCGCGGGGAACGTATAAACCTCGATATTTTATATCAGTTGTTGGAAACAGCAAGTAACATTTTGACTCCAATGGTGTTTGTAAATAGTTTGACATAACTCTGTACTGTTGCTGCCGATATTGAATTTCAATTCATAACTACGTGATCATTATACTAAAAGTATACAGGAATAAGGGCTAGTTTGTATTAATTCGTAAACGTTTCAACGTTGTTCTTTCACAATGGTACAACACATCGTTCAATGTGTATAATGACTTAGGTCTGAAAGATCAAGAAGTAATTCATATGGGTACATGCAGACTGTTAACCGCTAGTTTCTGTTGTGATTGTCATTTCCGTCATGTAAAACTGTACTAAAAGACTTGCACCTTTAATATAGTAAAGTACGGTTTGTGATTGACTTTACAAATTACCTGAAGAAGAAATCAAGGTTTTGAGATGATCCGCAATGAAATCACTTTCTTCTTGTGTTTCTATGGCGACTAGAGTAGCATGTTCTTTATGGCAAGCATTCTGTTAAATATGAACACACTGTGTTTACCTAAACACAATTAGGCCTACATGTATAACTGTATATGTTCTTTTAATCAAACATTAATGTTCCCCTATATATTAATTAATTGTATTTTGATTATTCAAGACGTGTTTTAAGTTATGAACGTGCTATTATTATCATAAACCCGTCAGTCGCTTGTAAAATCATAAATGCAACTCTTATTGGTTCACGTTGTAAACAACAATTTCAGCCAAGCATTACTGTTAACATTTGTTTCTTTATTACAAGAATAATTTGTATAAAAAAGCAAAAGAATCAGCTGAGTTTCAATCGCAACACACTTACTTTAGCATCGTTCCAGCTCTGTTTATTGTCAACATTAAATTGGTAGCATGAATCACGGAATCCTGTCCACCCCGATTGACATGCGCACGCAACTGACAGAAACAAATTTGCGTTAACATTCATCTATTAACATTTAAAAAACAACTATTTTTAAACTGCATTGCCTAAAAATGTGGATGAAAGGAATACTATTAGGGAATTGACGGAAGGACAATGCAGCAATATTGTTATATCCATTTTAAAGACAGCATGAAGGTTGTAATCAAAATAATGATTGGCATATATCTTAAAATTAACTATTAACATACAGCTGCTCATTTTTTTAAAGTCACAAAAGAAAATATAATGATGATTGTAGCATATATTTACGGAGCCCCTAAAGTGAAAAAAGTGTGGAAAATGTCACCTTAAGGGCTCGTACCAGAGTGACTTCTTTGCATGGCAGATATATTTTATTTTCTACGTCAGAGTTTTCAAGCTTTACCATATTTTTGAATACCTGTATCAAAGAATTGTAGGTCTGCAAGTTGGGCGAGGATAAAACGCAGATGCAAAAAGAGTTCAAGCTTTAGTCAGAATTTTTTTATGATTTTAAGCCGGAGATGATCGCTGCTTTAATTCCTTTATGGCCTCTTAATTTATAGGCTTTAACTGTTAACAGGTACTTTTTCAAGGGACAAAACCCCACACATAAGTTTCACAGTCAGAGTTTATGATAATGTATTAATTGATTCTTTTCATTCCAATTCTTATGTTGAATTCTGTTTCAGCTTAAAGTTGCGGTCTCAATCCCAGCAGAGCCCAGGACCACCCCGGTAAGTTACTGGGATGAAATAATCCGGGTCGAAATTATTGTTGCGATCACACTTACCCCGCAGCACTACGGTTACTCCCAACTTACGACCTAGGATGCGCTCCGGACAATCCAGGCAGAGCCCAGGTGAAGCTACAATGACACCGGCAGAGCCCCGGTTGACACAGGCAGAGCCCTGGTTATCCAGGCAGAGCCCCGGCAAATCCTAGAACGAGCCCGGAAAAGCTCCGGTAGAACCCCGATGGATTGAAAACGCGCGAAAATGATAACGTTGATTTAATATAATATATTTTGTTCCAGTACAGTTATTCATGATGTTTTCTGATTAATCCTTATGCAAGACTGGACAGAAGGGAAATGGGGGGAAGGGTTTTAATAAAAACAAGTGAAATCAATGCAAATTGTTGTGAATTTTAAATGTTTTAAATAAACCGGGCTTTGCGGGGCTCTATCGGAATCAACCGTAGCTCCATCGCCATCGTCCATGGCTCTGCCGGCATCCTTTGGGGCTCTCCGACACTCACAGGGGCTCTGCCGGCATTAACCGGGGCTGTACAGAAGCTGTACCGGCTATATCATACCCCGGTTTGTGCCGGCAGAGCAACGGTGCTTGTCCGGTGTAACCCCGGTCGTTCCCAGCAGAGCTAAGGATGAAGTCGGTAAATCTATACTTCTCGGATCATCCCAGACCACCCCGGTGATATTAAATATTCTATTCCATCTGGGGGTCGAATGCCGGATGTTCCCGGATCATCCCAGACGTTGACGGCAGAGTTACGGATGTACTCTGGTTCTTCCCGGTCGTACCTCGGCCGTTCCCAGATCACCCCGGACGTCTACCGACGCTCTGCCGGGATGTAAGTGAGACTGTAGCTTTAAACATGGACAACAGCTTGCTTTATAAACAGATTCAACCAACCCGAGCAATCAACTTAAAATAACTGACCTTAAATCATTCCTTCCCTAGATGTTACAACATTTAGTGTCCCGTACGTTATCTCCCTGTAGAAATTTAAGGATAATCAATAAAGTAATTGATTACCTGTCGAAATGTATGTAACAGTGAAAAGTAACGATAGCACCAAGGACTTCATTCTCTCAAATCACAAGTATCGTATATCTATCTAACAAAAGTCACATGAAGTGCCGAGTTATCTGTTAAAGTTGACTGACATATTTTATCTAAAATATTATATAATAGAATCTACTGCTCGAATGTAATCGGCTATTAATAAAGATTTTTTAAGATGTTTTTTTTTTGTCTTTTTTGTGCATATTAAGACTGATAAATTACATTTGTTAAGAAATTTTAGCACCCGGTTACTGAAAATAACAAGAATAAAGATCAACAAGGCAAAGGCAACGTTCACAGGACGCCGCCCCCGGACACATCCAAGCAGGACACCCAGAAGGCACCAAACAAGTACCTGGAGTGGACACAAGGGCGAAAGGAGCGGGACATGTAATGTGAAATAATATAAACAAAAACAGGCCCATAAGGGAATTAAAGGGAAAAGGGCTGTACGGGCGAAAAGGTGGTGGTGGTGGGGGGGTTAAAAATGGAAGGGGGGGGGGGAGAGAAAATACCTACCGTCAACGACAATCCAACAAGATAGACATCACAAAACATGTAAACATCCAAAAACAAGTAACAATACTGACAAGAAAAACACGTGAAGGAACACCAAGTGGTACAAAGGTGGCGGCATGGCCGAGTGGTTAATGCTTCGACTAGTAATCTTATGATCGCTAGCCGCATGGGTTCAAACCCTGACAGGGGCAAGTCGCTGTTTCCTTGAGCAAGAAACTTTACACTCATTGCTCAGTACTGGTTGGTTCCAGGAACGGATTCGAAAGTGTGTTTATAAGCTAATAGCTTCCTACACAATCGAACTAAAATAAATTCTGTACAAACCAAAGGGGTACCGCCTTGGAACGGTCAGTGGTAGTTAAACCACTGGGGAGTTTAAACCGGTTTTAGGCGCGCCAAACCTCACTCTTAGCCCCAATATGTTCCTGAATGACACGAAAATGTATATAAAATTAATCCCCGCCAAGTGAAATTCTAACAATGGTCATGGTTACATTAGACGAAATAAATAAAACGCATACAAAATTATGTAAATATGTAGAAAAAGTTACTGCCTAATGACCATTACCAAAGTACTAGATGCCTTAAAGGAAGGCAGAGCAACAAGAAAATCACCTACAAGGGCCCGACGAAGCAAGGCAGAAGACGAACATTAAGACAATTCAGTCCCCAAAGGGCTTTAAGAACTGTCCATCATAGAGTCTCCCACTTGGTCCGTCAGATGTAATCAAAAGAGGAAAGCGTAGTCTTTAAGTCTTTAAACTTCCTGGAGCACAATATTGGCATTGTTCAAATGATGAAATTGACCTTGAGCATATTTTACATCAAAGTATGTCAGTACTGATAAACGAGAAACTGATCGAATTTGAAGTCAACAAAATTAATATCATAAAAGTAAATACATTTTACATTATACACATCTGCATTATGTACATATCAAATATTAAAATGAAACAGAAAAATATTAAATAAGTCTATGTACAAACTCCTCATTGATATAATGTATAATTGTTAGCAAGTCGAGGACTTTCTTAGCTGATTAGTTTTTTTGCATGTATCATCTATATTACATTCTCTTCTTCCGTTTCAGGTACGGGTTGATGATTTGATTTATCACGGCTGGAGACGTGTTTAAACCCGATACCTTTGATTCCTGTATCATATGTAGATACACATTGAATGCGAATCATTCCTGTGTCACTAGTAACAAGTTCCTTGTTTGTACTGCATCTGGCTTCAAGTTCTAATTCACTGCTACAGCTGTATCTGATGTTGATATTAACAATATACGGAACGCTCCTTTTCTCTAACAGTAAAGGTTTTGTTAGATTTACTTCAGTATCTGTTGCATTAAATTGCTGCACTTTGAATTCCTCTTCACCGCCTATGTCATTGACACTGATACTTCCCGAAAGAAAAAGACATAAATTCACCGGAAGTTTGAACCGATCTATTTTATACATCTCTCTAACGTAGTAATTCCGATATAATGGACGATCGAGGGTAGAAATGTTCACGACTTGCGACCGAAAGATATTGTACTTCATTTTCTCGGGCTGCGAATCGCCGTGACGGATTTCTCCAACAAAATGTGTTTCATTGCCTGCATCGGTATAGATATCTTGCGTGTTTACCAAATACGGATTGATTTCATCAAGGACAAGACGAGACAAGAAGGCGCTCTTAAGCATAGTAATTTCGAAGGAAGTATGAAGATATTTGGAGTATTTTCTTTCTCCATCTTGGTTATTTACATACACTGTTTCAAGTTCTGGCGCCCTTGCTATGCATGAGTTAGTAGTAACGTGTATATTTGCGGCTTTATAAGCATATGCCGCAATATTTGCATATTCTTCATCAGAAAAATATCCCTTTCTGCTTACTGACTCGCGCAACGTTTGAGAAGACATTGTGGGCAGTCTTAAAAAGTAAAACGATTCTCCGATACGTTTACGTATATCTGTACCGCTCACTGCCACATCTTTCTCTCCCAATTGTTTGCGTGCCCAGCTTTCCACTGCTTCTAAAATGTATGCCTCCTCAACATAAAGTGTATCCCCTTTAAGAATATATAAAAGACAATCTTCAGATATGTTCATGAAACTTTCCGTCTGTATTACGTCTTGTGCGTGACTATCAATAAAGGAACAACATGCGTCTCTCAGGCCATCAAGGTTGTAAAACATTGCTATTGTCAGAGTTTCACATACATTACTTGATGTTAATACAGTTTTTAAAAACTCTGAACATAACTGAACAAGATTTGTGACCTGGAAATAATGAGCCATTTCCAAAATTGCAAAAGCAGTACCTTCTGTTAACGTAATCGAGTCACTGTATATGTACCTGTTAAACAAAATGAGACTGATTTATGAACAGTTTGTATAAACATTTTCAGGAAGAAACACATGTTTAGTTTATGCTTAGTCATGCTTCGAAGTAAAATTGTTTCCGATGTATTTACGACATCTTTATAAATAAGTATGTGGGTGATCAATAAATCATTCATTGTTAACTTGATACCAAGTTTAAAACAATATGAAAAAATATTCACCAACTATTTAAAGATAAAACATTTTTAAAAGCTGATTGCACTTTCGTAATGTTAAAACTGACAGGAAAATAAGAAGTTCTTACACAAGGAATAAATGGATTATTTCCTTCTGTTGATCTTTAAGTTCTACTACATTTGTTGTGCCAGCACAGGGACCGAAGAACATCGCCTGAAATACGGAACTTCTAGATGCAAGCACATTTTTGTGTGCTTTAATCACTCCCTCCCCTTTATCATTGTCCATACATTGAAATACGACGTCTGTCCAGAGACCCTGTTGAAACATTTCCAACATGCATTGTCCTAGATTCTTTCCGTCTTGCCAGTATTTCTTTACTTCCTGCATAACACACTCTTTGCTAGCATCCGCCATCCAAATTATTTATCAAACTGTTACCGTTATAGTGATTTAAATGCTAGACACTTTTATGTAGTGGCTGTTTCCGCGTCATAATCCAATGCATCACATAAATTTTGTTATCAATCTTTGTATTTCTTTTATCTTTATATACTGAATCTGAAACAAAATTGTATTGTTACAAAATCTCTTTTTTTAAACTGGTACTGTTAAATTAAATGCTTGACATTTTAAAGCAGTGGCTGTACTTTAAAATGTATCCGCATCATCCCCATGTAGAACATCAGTTTTGTTATCAATCTGAAATTTAACATCTCAACCAAGAGGTCACGGGTTCGAGCCCTACTCGGGTCACGACCATGTTTCTTCATATGAAACCAGTACTGGTTGGTTTCAGGAAGCGGATTCGAAATTAATATAAGTTGCAAGAACTTGTTTCGCAATCGAGCTTAAATAAATATGTTTAAACCAAACATCTTTATTTTAGGTTTCAAAATAGTATTGTACAAAAACTCATTTAAATATTTAAAACGAGGAAAGGCGGAACAAGAAACATATAGATTACACAAACCATATACTATTCTAGTAGTTGACTTAAAAATTTTGAGATTTGAACGGATACAGTATCATTTGATGACAATATTAAATTACTGTTAGGATTTACGAAACTGCATTGTTGTTTAATTAATGCAAAGTTTCGTCTCGATACGCACGAGTACAAAAAAGAAATTATATTTGATAAAGCTAATTAATTTGTGATATAAAGTTTTCTTTATGAGAAAGTGTGAAGAAAAAGATAATTTTAGTTAAACCTAACTCTTTGTAAAATGACACATTGGCCTACTTCCTTAATCGTTATATTTCGTCATGTCTCTCTATAACTCTTCTCGAAACTGACTGAGACGTGACGATATTAAACTTATTGTTTTACAGCCTTTTTTAAATGTAAAATAAACTTTCGTTTGAGTACACACACAGATGAAATATCGCACTAGAATATTCAATTTTCATAGCCGTCATTTATTCAAATACGAAACATCGTGATCAACAAAGAAAAGGTATTTTTTTGTCTAGAAAAAGATACATCTTACCTTTGAAGGTACCCCACTTTGTAGAAACCTGCGCACTGTTATGCTAAAAGATAATATAAATCAATCTTTAAACTCACGTTAGTGTGACCTGAGATAATTTGTTACAGATAGTAAGAGATATGAGGTGTGTTCAAAGGCCAATATCTCGCTTTTAACGTACCGCGTAAGCTCCCAACTGATAAATACATTATGTAAATCAGTTCAGTCTAGCTTTGACAATAGCTCGATTACCGCTATCTACTTACTCGTGTACGAGGGGCGTTCAATATATTCGTAGACTAATGTCCTCATTTTTTTTATTTCAGAAGCAATTTTAATTAAAATTGTATCAATTGATAGCGTTGTTATTCCGTTTGCAAAACAATGAAAATTCAAATTGATAATTACGCAACTTTAAGACTGACAGCCATTTTCATAACCATGGTAACGCGCCAGCGCACCAGACCAATTTTTTTTAATAAACTTATTAAGCGTATAAACATTCTATTTTTTGATAAGATAAACACTTAAAAATCCGGGAAAGTAATATATGAAGATATGACGACGTTTCCTGAAAATATGACGACATTTGGACGTTGGAGTTTGGATAAACAACATTTTTGCTGTGAAAGCATCAGCAGAATTGACGTCAGAAATGATGTCACAAGAAAAGTTGAAAACCAGGGCAATAATAAACATTTGCAAGGATCTTGGGAAAACACCGACTGGCACTTATAAAATGCTGCAAAAAAGTCGAGGGAAGATATCTGTTAGCCGTGCGCTTGTTTTTAAATGGCATTAACGTTTCTCTGAAAGACGAGCAAGTATTCAGGACGACACAAGATCAGGGAGGAGGTTGCACGTTAATGAAACATTAAGCTAAAATGGCTAGAAAAAAAGTCTCCTTTCACTGACCAAATACGATCCTATATCAAGAACCGCTATATTCTTAGTATACAGACGGAATACATTTTTAATGAAATATGTCGTGTTTATGGGAACAGTGAACTTTCTTTTTCATCTGTCACACGGTGGTGGATTCCTTAATACACGCCGCCCGAAAACTGCAACTTCGCCAAAAAATGATTGAAAAAGTAAAGGATTTGATTGCTACTGTTGCAAGATTTACAACTAGGTAACTAGCTTAATGGGTTGGTATCTCTGTAGGAGCCGCGCATACAATACTCAGACGTGATTTAAAAATGAGAAGGATAAGTCCCAGATTGATACCGCATCTCCTTACAAAAGAGCAAGAACTTGCTCGGGTAGGAATCTCCAAACAATTGTTGAAACAGTTCTCTAAATACATAAATCGATCTGTCGCAAATATCACAGTGACTGTTATAACTTATGTATGTATTGTTCTTATCTGGTTTATAAAAAGATGCAATTAGATATATACGTGTACTTCCGGTGATACCTATGACATGGAATAAAAGTGACAACTATTATTGTGTTCTTATAAATCTTGATATATATTAAATAAGGACATAACAATCATCACTGGCGATGAGACGTGGATTCACTTGTATGAGCGCAAGCGAAAGATACAAAATATGGGCAACCAAAGGAAGTTAAAGACTTGCATAGCAAAACGCAACGTCAAAAATGGTCATGTATGTAATTTCTTAAACAATCAAGGGCCTTCTATTCAAATTGCCGTACCAAAGGTTAAATCTATAAATGTCAAGTTCTACAAAGGCAAGGTCCTTCATAAATTTAAGAAATATTTCAAAAACCGTCGACCAGCAACTGGTCTCCGCGTTGTTAGGTTGTTGCATGACAATGCTTCATTGTACAAGAATATCTGAAGCAGATCTTGCCCATTGTGAATGGTTTCCTATTTCCGAGGCTCAAAAAACACCTTGCTGGAAGAAAATATCAAACGCGGAAAAGTCTTGGTTCGGCTTTTTTTCCAGTGTCTGAACAGTATACATCGAAAATATCATGAAAACGTTTTTAAAAATTTGATTATAAACTAAAACTTTGTATATCACATGGTGGTGAGTATTTTGAAATATTGAGATAATTATTTTGGCACTGTTTGTTAAGCACTTCTGAAAAGTGACCTAGTTGCATTCTTATTTGAACACCCCTCATATTATCAGAATGTTTAAGTGCTTTTTTTTATCAGATACTCGAATATGTTATAAGCTTAAATTGTTTTTACATGTATTTATATCATTTAAATAAGTTGCAACTTGTTTGCTTGATTTGAATTCATAACGGCACTGATATGAAAGATACGTTTGCAGAATTTCTAATCTGACAAGGTTGGAAGACACACGAGTAATTAGAACTTGCATGCATAATTTCAGTCACCAATGAGCACATCCGGTAAGTGATCATTACCACGCGATCTTTAATCCCTACATACTTTAATGCAGAGCCATCATTTTTCTGATAAAAAATCTTGTTTACGTTGTTCACAAATATGTGCATAATTAGGCTTATACCGGAGACGTTTCAGCTCCAAGTTTTTTGGCAGTCAAATACATAGTTAGATCTATACTAAACTAACAGTTTAGACATGCTCGTTATTTCAATGCAATGCCATATCTTACTGTCATTGTGTAAGTGGGTGCTTGTTTCAGCGACATTCTGACGACTTGTCTGTTTAGAAGTGTAAACTTGTACATGATAGTACGACTGTCTGGAATGCAAGTTAATTTATTTTATGTTTTTTATCGTGTAAAACCAGTTATGTTTAAATCTGTAGACTCTATGCAGTGTAGCAAAGGAGCGGGGGAAGGGGGCACTGCGTATGAGTTTGGACCGGTTTTCATGTATAACCTTTAACTTATGACCTGCAGCAGCATGCTAGCCTCTTGAAAAATAGAGATCGTCTTTTCTATTGTATAAGATATTTTATTTGTAGATTTATATTGTAAAAAATGATGAGCTAAAATATACACAGTTTAACAGATAAGAAGTACGTGAGTAAAACACAAACATAAATTAATATTTTCATTTCTGCCTTCTTACAAATGAATTGTTAATTAGACCTTTACCTGTAAATGTTTTGTACATTAACATATGCACTGTTTGTTATTCTAATTATAAATATGCTGTTTCCATGTCATAATAGGCTTTTAAACCTTAAATGACTGAAATGTATGTCATGCTTGCAATCATTTTATTTAAGGTAGATTTGAAAAAAAGATAAACAATTTTGTAATATGTAAGGGGATTATTATTATCATTATTATCATTATTTTATACAACTTGCTTGCTATATATCAAGTTTGATTACAATATTTTATTCCATACTCTTGTTCCTGTCTGGAAAACATGTATCTATTTTTAGAAAAATATACCTTAACCTTGACACTCAGGGGGTCCAAATGCAATGCCAATCGGGGTCTTCAAATAAGCTTGCTATAAACCAAGTTGAATTACAACGTCTTATTTCTTACTCTAGTCGTTGTCCGGAAACCATTTTACTTTTTCTAGTTTCGGTGACTTGACCTTGACTCCAGGGGTTCAAATGCAACATCATATAAGCTTGCTTTTTATCATGTTTGATAATAATACTCGTACCTCATTCCAAACCCTTGTTATCGTCAGGAATTATTTAATTTGAAGAGTTTAATTGTAATGCAAGTATTACTGAAAACAAACATTGACATTCTGATCTGCTGCTGCTTTTATTCAATAATATAATGTAATCGTCTAAATAACCGTACTTTTACTGGCCTAGCTTGACCTTCATCACCAATATTGTCGATTTGTCATTAATGATTTAATTGTTTATTGCTGATAGGGCATTTCAGTTTCATTAAATAAAATGTAAATGATAAACGCCTTCTACAAAATTCTACATATTACTTGAAATTTGACTTCTGCATGTAGATTTTTGAAGGCTCTGTGGTTTATTGCATATTTTATATACAAACTCATGATGTTTTCGCAGCTCTACGAGTATCATGATATTTCGTTAGCTTAAAATTAAAATATTGACCACCAGATACAAAATCTATCCAGCTGCATGTTTCTAAAACAAAATAAAAGCACTTGAACAATGATTTTCACTACAAATTGAAGAACAAAAGATATCCTACTACATATATTATCACATATAGCAAGTAGATAACATTCACATTTATGTAAAGTGAGTACTTTGCGTCTCGTGCACAGCCCACACATCCCACACGCTGTATATTGTTTTGCTCATGTCAGAACATGGATAGCTATGCTTGGTGAGGACTTGAAAATTTACAATGAAACAGTTGCACTTTACCTGGTTCAATGTCTACATGTATTGAAGATATTTTGAACTCAAAACGATTTCTGTAAGATAACCAGACCATTGAGGCGCATTCAGTGGCGAAACTTCAAAGGCCTATTGTCAGCAAACGTATGGCGCATCTTTCACCAAGCGACTGGCTGTCATTATGGGCATCTGTTTTAATTGGTTTTAAGTCACATGGACAATGTGCAGGTCATATGGGGATTATCCGGCTACACCCCATATGCTCCTTCATGTATCATTTAAAGTACGAGCGGAAGACTGAGTAAAACTACCGATCTAATATGTAAGCTTTCTAGGACAGCTTCCTCACACAGAAGAATCCAAAGTCCCTGTTGGGAATCAAACCTACAAAGATAAGAGACCTGAATCCAAAATGATTTGAAGTCATCAGCCATGACCATTCACTAGCCCTTGAAAACCCATACCCGCTCTATTGGTATATATGTTTCATATACAGCCTCTATTTATATATAAGTGACGCTTTGGTAAAAATAGCTTACAAACGGCAGCAAGCAGCTCAGTTTGGTTTAATAATACAGATGTACATTCAACAGGGCTTAGGCAAGTTTCTACAGTTTCTGGAGTCAGATGATTTCTATAAAGAGAAGGCAACACAACATGTTAAAGATGTGTTTGCCATGTCAACTAAGGCTCTTGACCAGTTAGGCCCCTCAGGGGCGTTCAACCATGTTATCAGAAGGCCGGTAGTGATGACTGATACTGCTCTTTTTGAGCAACCAGACAATTTGGAATTTTCTAATTTACCTTTAATGTTTGAGGGTGTGTTTGGTGCTGGTTTGGAGTCTTTGTTAAAAGCTCGCAAAGAGAAAAAGAAACAAATGATGATTTAATTCAAGAAGTCAGAAGGTCTGGCTTTAAAAGGAAGTTCTCGGGTGCTAAATCTGATT